TTTTGGCATTGCCGGCACGGAAAACTTTTGGGAAGTGGCTGGAATAATTTCCCAAACATTGCCTACAAGCTTTGCAGTTGCAGGAGGGCATTGAGTTGCCTCAAGCCGGGCAGGCGAAGATTTCTTCTTTTTGCCCTTGCTGCCAGATGATGGTGCTGGCTTTTCCTCCTGCTCCTTGGCTGCGTTCTTGGCTTCTTCCTCGATGATCAGTTTCCTTTCCTGAGGGTTCAACATCTTCCACAATTCTGAGTCGATCCCTGCCGGACGCTTTGAACCTTTATAGTTACGTACAATCCGGTGACCATCCCAATGATATCCATCTGGAATTATTTCACCTTTGGGGGTCAATTTGAGATCTGGGAATATGGGCGCTTCAGGTGCATCAGGCTCGACATCGCTGTCGGCTGGTAGAGGCGTCCCTGGCTCGTATTCATACTCATCTTGTGGCGGATGCAAACTGGACTCAAGAGGCACAGCTTTGGGAGTCTGCGGAATGACTTGATCCTCGAGGCGATCGGCTTTGGGTGCTTTCGAGTCAATCAGAGCTTTCAAAGGAAAGATGAAACCCTCGGATGGCAATTCCAACCTTTTTGTTCTTTGAATTGTCAATGCACCCCAGTTGACATGATAGTCGGCGGCTTCCAACTTGGCAACTAAGTATTCACCCTTCCAATCATGACCTGGTTGGATGTAATACCCAAGGAAAATTCCTTCATTTGCTGTTGGGGAGAGTTTACCTGATGTGTTATCTAGCCTTTTGGGATTGTTCCAGAACAACACTTTGGCACCAAATGGAACGTGCATTGCAGGGAACTCTTCACCAAACCTGAGTTGCCACGGGGATTCACTGCCGTCAAGCTGGGGGCTTGCGTTGATCGCGGTCGCATGATGCTGCATGGCCAGTGGCCACATCTTCAAAGGGAGTCCTGATTGCAACAAGTTGCTACGGGCACCTTCCAACATCTGACGAACTTCGCGTTCAGCAAAAGACTTTGATGAATCTACATATTCAATTGATGTTTGATGTCTGTAACCCAAATCCTTGATGGCCCTGATCAATTCTGGGGAATTGTCAGTGTACACAACTTGAACATCATCCTTTGATCCAATGAAGTGATTCAAACCATCAACACAGCTTTGTGAGTCCTTGGACTGGCTAGGGTAGACATACCGATATTGGGTGTGCAGATCTTTCAACACCAATGCAACTTGCTCCCCCCTGAAACCCTCTTCTACATTTTTCTTGATGATGACATGATCCCCAATGACGTGGTCACCGAACACTTCAGTTTCGATTCTCTTCTGACCACCTTTCTTTCGTGCCTGAGGTGCCATCATCCTTGCTCGTTGGCAGGTTCTGCAAAAGGGGTTCTTGGGGAAATGCGTGTACTGATGTTGGGTACTTGCAGCTTCAGCCAACAGATCCTCAGTCTTGCGGCTTCGGATGTACTCCTGCTGAGCGTCATCCTCCACCAGCTCATCCAATTGCTCTTCATCTTGGGCTTCGTCCCGTTTGGCTTTTGAGCTCGACCGTGAGGTCGGCATTGCAAACAACTTTCTAAGGTGCTTATCCTTTTGAAATTGATCTTTGGGATAAACCTTGCAACTATCATCCAAAACTGGGACATGACCTTCGATCTTGAGCTGGACGACCTTGTCATCTGGACGGACTAGGATTGGTTTGCCATTGGCAGGCCATACGAAACTGTAACCCTGATCTACACATCTCGTTCCTACGGAGAGCACAGCTGGGGTATGATCAAGTACATACGGATGCACGGGATCTGGCAATGCGGACAACTTGACATCAGCAACCTCGTTTGCCTCGGTCGAACCATTGGCTGTGACTAAGGAAATCGGATGCTCGGCTGCACGGCAGTTCTTGGCACTGACATCCCTCAGCATTCCTTTGGACACAAGATCGGATTCACTACCTGAGTCGACAAGCCAACTAACGCCGGCCTTTGGCGCAGCTGTGGCAATTGACGGGAAACGACCAATGTCTCTAAGAGCTTTGGGACCGCTGACGAACCTGCACTCTTTGCATGTGATGTCACGTGTGTCCTCATTCCAACAACAAAACCCACAACTAGGTGCAACATCTGAATCATGAAGTTTCACAGTTTCCTGAAGCTGTCTTGCACGAACCTGAGCCTCATGCTGTTCAACCTTGGATGAAACCGGAACATCTTCAGCTGTCTTGTACACCTCAGTGAACTCTCTTGGACGGTGCTTGACTGGGACTTGACGACCAACTGCTTTCACCTCGATCACATGTGGGGCCTTTCGGAATCTAAGACGCTTCATGCTGACACTTGACTCATCAGAGCACGAAGTTGCCTTCGGCTGTTTTCGGACGATGCATGCAAACTTCTGGATCAGGCATGGAGCGGCTGTGGAATCCTTGCTCTTCTTTTTGGGAGCGGGTGAATTGGCCCTTTTGGTGTCTTTGGTGGCGGCAGCAGCTTTGTCATCATGCTTATAAAAACACTTGTCACCAAGTCTGCACTTTCCCTGGGCATGATAGATACATGGGGTTTTAGCCATTTCTTCCTTGGACATTTTCTTCCCCTTATCATCTTTGTTGCCCCTTGATGGTGAACGTGTTTTGGTTCTTCTGGGTGATTGAGTTCGAGATTTGTCATCCTTGACATGCTTAAATGGACATTTCTTCCCCTTATCACAGGTACCCTTTTGGAACTTATAGCAAATCTTGTCACCTTTGCCACCTCGTTCCTGCGATCTACCACGACTTGGGGAGCCCTTTCGGCCACCGCGACCATCGCCTTTGGCAGGTGCGGCCTTTGTGTCCTTGATCCCAGCCTTGTTCTTCTCCGCGATGCGGTTCCTGTTCTCCCTCAATCGTTCACGATCGATCAAGTTCTTCATGGATTGGTGAAGAAAACTATAAGACTTTTCATGGGATTTCTCATGTGCACGATCAAACATCTCGATGTCATATTTCAGCAACTGACTTGGACGGATCTGCCTCAACAAGATGTCCCTTAACACAGCATCATCGGGGGTGACAGCCATGCCAGCTAGGGTAGCATCCCATTTGTTGATGAATCTTCTGAGATCCTGGACAGTATCGCCTACTTTGACAACACCCAAAAGATCTTCTACTCTGTAAAGGCTACCTGCTTCTTCTGATGTTTTGAAGTAGTCCTCAAACATGAGCAGAACATACCTTCCCCTGACCTGGATGCCTTTTCGGGATTGCTGCTCCTTGAAATTCAAGATCCTAGTTGCGAGGTCCCCTCCGGCTGAGCGTGTGAGCGCTGCTGATAACTTTGTATCCAGCGTGAGGAACTTTCCAGGATCTTGGAGTTTCTTCTCCAATTGCTCTCTGGTGCACTCTTGATCGTACACCTCATTGAGCCAGAGCCACGCCTCATCCGGGCGATCTGAACAGCTTTTCACTTCATCCCTGACATGATTCTTCCAAGTCCTATACGACTCCGGAGCGGGCATGTTGTTCAGCTTGATGATTTCGGCCTCCTTAGTTTTTGGCTTATCCTTTTCTTCCCTTTGGGTTAAGGCTTTCACCAATTCAATAAGATCTGAGGGACCCATCACTTGCTGTTGCTTGGTTACGCTCTTAGGGGAGTCATTTGGGGGAGTTTTGATAGCTTCAGTGGGAGTGAAAAACCCTGACTGCGTTGGCAATTGGGGCTGGTCGTTGCCGACAGCCGGCTTTTGCTTGGGGCTGCCACCTTTGAGCAGCTCATCCAACTTGGCCTTTGCTTCTTGTGCCAACACTGCAGGTGTTTTCAACTCATGAATCGGCTCATCACTGCCTCTGGCGGCCTGTGCATCGGATGCTTTGGGAGTGGCAATATTGAAGTGGGGCACGCTAGTGGTAGCGGCCAGCTCGGCATTCAGGACGGATGCTTTCGGAACGGAGGCATGCTGCGCTTTGGCAACATGCTTTAACTGCTCCTGAAGGTCATCGATTTGGTCCTGAAGGCTAAGGTTCTGAGCCGCTGCCTCGTTGATCTTGTCGGCCATCTCCTTCTTGTAGTTCTCGAATTCGGTCCTCAAACTGATGAACCTGGCCTGATCAATTGCAGCCTGATCTTCATATTGCTTCTTTGTGGCAGCTATGGCATTCTTTGCATGTTCAACTGTCTGTGCATAGGAAGCTTCAAATTCACTAGTGATACGTTGCCTTTCCTCTGCAATTTTCTGATCATGCTTTGTGTTTGCCTCTGCCTTTACATCCTCTATTCTTTTGTCATGCGATGCCTGAGCCTGATTCAACCTGACCTCCATCTCATCGCCTCGTTTCCTCTCCTCGTTGACGGCACTAATGGCCTTACCTTCAACCTCCTGCAGCCTTTGCTCATACTCCTGCTCCTGCATTACGAGTCTACTTGACCATTCGTTTCGAATTGAGTCAACTACTCCATGCATTATCTGAAGGTGCCTCTGTTCAGCTTCCCTCATGACTTGCAGGGTATTCCCACTAGTAATCTGGGACAGGTTGTTTTGTATGAAGGTAAAGTACGCAACAACGGGTTGGAACATTGTTTCGTCATCCATCGGCTCGGGGTTGCCCCCGGCCATGTTGGGCACGGCGACAGCCGATGGACCTGACCCTGGAACGGCGAGAGGATGGTCAATTGGGGTCCCCATAGCAAAGTAGTGAGACTACGGCTGATAACCTGTATTTTACCAGGTCAGCCAACAATAGTTACAATAACTAGTGGGGCAACAACAAACCGGTAAGCACTCAGCTCTTTTGAACCAACGCTACAGGATAGTACGATGACCTATATGATACATGGTTTTACTGCAGGAGTTTTTACACATTATAAATATATATATATATTATAATATTATAATATTATAATATTATAATATTATAATATTATAATATTATATATATAATATTATATATTATATGTGTATATAGAGAGAGAGAGAGATTTCACCCTAGGTTCCAATGATTTCAATGTCAACATCAAGTTCTGGACTACCCCCACCGTCGCCGCGACCTCACGGGCATCGTTCAAGTTGCTTTCCACCGAAATGGAGCGCGCAAAATTCTGCGACACCCAGTCCTGTAATGGTGATGGTTGGCAAAGCATATTTTCTACAGCATGCTAGAGTCTAACACACATCTACTCTGAGAATGCATGTATCAAAATCATCCTTTCCCAGGTACATAAACACCAGAAAAATCGGATTCATGCGGGATTTATTCGTTTTGGGGGCTCATAATAGGAGATCATTTACAGGGAGACAGCATTCTGTTTCTCGCCAGCTTGCCCCAGTAGTTGGCCTTACTAACCAGGCTTCCAAACGCGTTGCTCGGTCAAATCACCATCTGGTTGGTGGTTTCAACCTACCCCTCTGAAAAATGAGGGACTTCGTCAATTGGGATGATGAAATTCCCAATATATATATATATATATGGAAAGTCATAATCCAGCCATGGTCCAGTCACCACCAACCAGCCATTTTTGATGTTTTTTTCACCACTTTATCAAATCATCAAATCCACAGTCATTTTCCATGTTTAAAACTGTTAATTTTCTCACATGGAGAACATATCTTGTTGGTCAAAAAAAACACGTTTTCTAGTGTTTGAAACACAAATTATTCAATGAAAACTGTTAATTTTCTAGGGTTTGATCCCTATTTTCCGTGGTTAAAACTCACATTGGACATGTCTTTGATGGGTAAAAAAAAACTCTTTCTAGGGTTTGAAACCAAATGTGTCATGTTTCAATCAGTTCTCATCTGCATCCCCGCCTGCACCACGGGCGGCGAGTTTCGCACGTCCACATGGGTCATTTCCGAGGTCGATGCGTTGGAAGCGGAAGGTTATGGCGCTACATAAAATTACATGAAATACATGAAAACATACGAAAAATATGGCTTCAGTTTCAGTATGGGTTTGAGATAGTTTTAATATTGTCGTAATCTGTTTGTGGTTGATATGTTCATGGTTCATATAATTCATGTCGTTGATGTTGTTATCGTTATATACATACATATATATATATATGTACATAGATAGAGAGAGAGAGGGATAGATAGATAGATAGATAGATAGATAGATAGATAGATAGATAGATAGATAGATAGATAGATAGATAGATAGATAGATAGATAGATAGATAGATAGATAGATAGATAGATAGATAGGATAGATAGATAGATAGATAGATAGATTGATAGATAGATAGATAGATTGATAGATAGATAGAGATATAGAGATATAGAGATATAGAGATATAGAGATATAGAGATATATATATATATAGATATAGATATAGAGATAGAGATAGATATAGATATAGATACAGATGTAGATGTACATGTAGATATAGATTTAGAGATAGAGATAGAGATATAGATAGAGATAGAGATATAGATAGAGATGGAGAGATACATAGAGATAGAGAGATAGATAGATAGATAGATAGATAGATCGATCGATCTATCGATAGATCGATGGATCGATGGATGAATAGACGGATAGATGGATAGATGGCTAGATGGCTAGATGGCTAGATATATGATTAGACCTCGGACAATTGAAGTGTTTAGCTGCTTTGATGCAGTAATACACGGTAATATGGTTAGATAGTGGTGTGTCTGATATCTTTGTGGTTAACATGGTTACTATGGGTAATATGCGGACTATAGACTATAGATCATAGACAGGAATAATATATATATATATATGGTCAAATCGAATTGTGTTGTAGTTTTGAGTGGTTCCAAAAAAAACACCATTGGGAGATTTGACTGGAAAGGGAATTGAACCAGGGACCGGTTGAACTCGAAAATAGGAATGAAACCATAATTTTATGCTGGTGGTTTGATCGTCTCCCCCGCGTTTGTGTGTTGAGATAATATGGGGATGGCAATGAATTGGAAGGGAAAAAAATGTTCAGACAGACCCATATGATAAGCTTCGGATATCATCTTGGGGATATTTGAAATATTTGAAATGATTGGGAATGTCCATGGAACATTGGGACTGGAAATACCAGAGGAAATTGATGAAGTACCCATAAAAATAGAGACAACCAACCAATCCTGTTGGTGTTTGAATGGGGATTGATTCTTATGGACAAATGAAATATAATGAAACATAACATATGGAAACTGGCTGGTGAATGATGGATTTAAAAATAAATATTGGGATTCAACCAGCAAAATTGGTGGATTCGACAAACAAACGTTGGATGAAAACAAGTGCACCGGGGATCAAATGGCTTTTGATGGAATATGCCCTCCAACTAACACACTCTGCAGGGTCTCACTGTCAGTTGGAGGATTGTATCAAATTAACCAATCATATTCATCTAAAGATTGCTGGCCATCATTAGTATGATCATGGGAAAAAATGGAAAAATGGATATCAAGCCGCATATGATGATTGTGTTTGTTAAGACTGGGTCAATATGATATGGTTTCAACAAAATCAATATAGGGTAATGATCCAAACAGGTGCCCAATTAGCACGGGCTTTAGTCATTGCATGTTAATTTAGATGGTTTGTAGATATTCCTATTCATAGCAACAGATTCAAGGAGGATTAAACTACCCATCCAAGGTTGATCATTCGTAGCCAATCATCCAATACCCTCCAGTTAAGTCAGTCATGGTGCCTCCATGAGTGTGAGTCTTTACAATGATCTACATTCACGGTGGATCGTCCATGTCTAAATTTTGAATATTTCCTGGAGGGGACAGGGGACTCTCATTATTTTATCGGCTGATGATCCTAAGGTAGCAATTTGATAGGATATGCATAGGTTTTCCGAAAGCCAATGAATATATGATGGCATTTCATATGTGGTTGTGAGAGTCAGTTGACTTTCAGTGGGAAAGCCTCAGTTGAGGCAAAACTATACAACTGAGGGGATAATTAACTGTACTCGCACAATGCACATTATAGTGTAAAGGCAAAGGGTAAACATACAACCTGGGGCGCAGGGCCAGGGTGATACATGTTGATACAAAACATGGGGGATACGCCAGCCAAAAAACAGGATGTTGGAAGGTTGACAGCTGACCGGTCAGGAGCTGATGGTTGAGGTTCATAATTGGTAAATATGATAGTTAATTCAAACAATGGGTGCTGTACTACTGGTTGTTTATTGTGCTAAATATGCGGGCAATATCATGTTAATGTTAATAGTTAGGCACAATACTAAGCTTTTGGTGTGCCATAGAAAGTGCCCAAGCAATTTCCGCTGAAACCGCAGCGCTTTTGTGAGATGACCCTAGTGGAATGGTTCAAAATTGCCTCACCACATCCGGGTTTTGATCCAAGTAATTGCTGGTTTTGAATGGAATCTAAAAGCCAGATATTTGGAGCTTCTTTTGGGGCTCCACATAAATTTTAATCAACCCAGTGAAAAATGTTTTCCGACCTCAAATGCGGATTCTCAGCAGCGAATATGCATTCATTAGAACCAAAGATCAGGGACCCAGGGGTTCAAACTGGCAAATATGTTCGAATGCTGACAACTCGAAAACTCGCACACTTCATCAACACCTTTCACCAACAAACATGCAAAAAACTTCTGTCTTGACAGCAAAAACGCGGTAATAGAGTTCACCAATAAATGGGTCTGTATGGCAACTTCTGCTGTTGATCACCCCATTTGGAGCCATACCAAAAACCAGCCTAAAAGAAGTGGTTCTAGTGTGGTAATTGTAGCATTATCTGGGTGATGATGAACTAAGTGGAGCCCATATGTGCCATAGTCAAACCATTGTATATTGAGTATGGTCGTTCCGCCATCATGAACGGTATTCCTTATGATGGGTACAGTAACCCCTGTGAATTATGGAAAAATAATCTGTGCTTGACTGACTACGTGACATGCGCAGAAAAATTGATTGGTTTACCATGGATGGAGAATTATTTTGGGTTTTTTTTTCTGCGTTTTGGGATTTTTTTTTGGATTCTGTCTTGTGGGGCGTGTTGTTTGCTTGTTCCATGGCGCCAACCGGTGTATTCCTTGGTTTCCATTCATTTTCCAGAGTTTTAAACGTTTTTTGGGTGTTTAGTTGGTTTTTCACCGGTTTTTTTGGTTTTGAACGATTTTGTTTTGTTCTTGCCGTTTTTGGACGTGTTTCCCGCGACTTGCATACATGTGATCACTAGTGGCATGGACGGTTCTGTGTTGTTTGCCGTTGTATTCATCGTGCATCCACTGTGTTAAACAAACAGACATGATTGATTGATTGATTGATTGATTGATTGATTGATTAATTGATTGATTGATTGCTTGATTGACTGATAGATAGACAGATAGATAGATAGATAGATGCGGCAAATGCTCGGGAAGACACGCAGACGACCAAGAGCTGACAATCAGGATGGGGTAGCAGAAGGGTCATGGTTAGCATTCACACCATCATGTTCACCACATCATCGTGCCAACCCCAACTAATGTATTTACGAGCTTGGATTTAAATATAAAGAAGGGAGGGCAAAGCAGATTGGAAACACCTATTTTCACATGCAAGGTGCTGGTTTGGTTTAGGGTTTATTTGGGGTTGGCTTAATGGTTTCTTCTGGATTTGTTTAGGGTCTATTTAGGGTTGGGTTAGGGGTTATTTAGGGATACAACATGTACATACAAATAGCTATAATTACGTGATTATTTATAGTCTATTTTGGGATCAAAGTTGTGTATAAAAACAACCACACATATGTGATATATATATATATGTGTCTGTATATCTATAAGTAAATATGCATGTGTATCTATATATAAATATACTTATAGATACATACTTATATATATATACATTTATATCAGGTGGGCCGTATCATCCACCTTTGTGGCGTTGTCACAGCACGGAGGCACAGCAAGCATGCTGGGTGGTTGAGGGTTGAACGCTTGCTTGGTTGGTTAGTCGGTTGGTACATACCGCAAACAATAGCAGCACGCTCAGCAGCCCCAACCTGGAGAAGCTTCGGCCCTGCCTCAGCCCGTCCATGTCGATGGGGTTACCTTGCGAACTGGTTGGCGGGCCGTATCATCCACCATTGTGGCATTGTCGAGGGCAACAACAAAAACAGAACAACATATAGGTGGGCCGTATCATCCACCTTTGTGGCGTTGTCACAGCACGGAAGCACAGCAAGCATGCTGGGTGGTTGAGGGTTGAACGCTTGCTTGGTTGGTTAGTCGGTTGGTACATACCGCAAACAACAGCACGCTCAGCAGCCCCAACCTGGAGAAGCTTCGGCCCTGCCTCAGCCCGTCCATGTCGATGGGGTTACCTTGCGAACTGGTTGGCGGGCCTTATCATCCACCATTGTGGCATTGTCGCGGGCAACAACAAAAACAGAACAGCATAGGTGGGCCGTATCATCCACCTTTGTGGCGTTGTCACAGCACGGAAGCACAGCAAGCATGCTGGGTGGTTGAGGGTTGAACGCTTGCTTGGTTGGTCAGTCGGTTGGTACATACCGCAAACAATAGCAGCACGCTCAGCAGCCCCAACCTGGAGAAGCTTCGGCCCTGCCTCAGCCCGTCCATGTCGATGGGGTTACCTTGCGGACTGGTTGGCGGGCCTTATCAGCCACCATTGTGGCATTGTCGCGGGCAACAACAAAAACAGAACAGCATAGGTGGGCCGTATCATCCACCTTTGTGGCATTGTCGCAGCACGGAAGCACAGCAAGCATGCTGGGTGGTTGAGGGTTGAACGCTTGATGGGGTTACCTTGCGGACCGGTTGGCGGGCCTTATCATCCACCATTGTGGCATTGTCACAGCAGGCATGGCAAAGACAGGCACGGGAAGCAGAAGTTAACACAAGTTGCGGACGATGGTCATGGTTAGCATTCACACCATCATGTTCACCACATCATCGTGCCAACCCCAACTAATGTATTTACGAGCTTAGATTTAAATATAAAGAAGGGAGGGCAAAGCAGATTGGAAACACTTATTTTCACATGCAAGGTGCTGGTTTGGTTTAGGGTTTATTTGGGGTTGGCTTAATGGTTTCTTCTGGATTTGTTTAGGGTCTATTTAGGGTTGGGTTAGAGGTATTTAGGGATACAACATGTACATACAAATAGCTATAATTACGTGATTATTTATAGTCTATTTTGGGATCAAAGCTGTGTATAAAAACAACCACAAATGTGTCATATATATGTATATAGTCTGTATATCTATAAGTAAATATGCATGTGTATTTATATATAAATATACTTATATAAATATATATATATGAGTACATAAATACATATATATATATATATTTATTTATTTACAGCTTCACACCCTTGTACTCACACGGCCAATAGCCTGTCGTAGCATTACAGCAAAGCACGCGCTCAGGCTAATTGATTTACTATGGGCGAGGTGGTGTGGCAGCAAAGCACGCACTTGAATTTTGACGACAGATTTATTCACACACGCTTGAAACAGAACGTGGGCCGTATTATCCACCTTTGTGGCTTTGTCAAAGCATTACAGCAAAGCACGCGCTTAGGCGAATTGATTTACTATGGGCAAGATGGTGTGGCAGCAAAGCACGCAATTGAATTTTGACGACAAGTTTGATCACATACGCTTGAAACAGGTGGTGGGCCGTATCATCCACCTTTCTGGCGTTGTCACAAGCCGCGGGGGGGGCTGTAAAATAAAAAGGAGGGAGGGGGGGGGGGCGCGGGGGGACTCCCCCCGCAAAGCGTCACATGGTCATGATACATTCATTCGCAATGTAGGTGGGCCTTATCATCCACCTTTCTGGCGTTGTCACAAGCCGCGGGGGGGAGGCTTTAAAATAAAAAGGCGGGAGGGGGGCGCGGGGGGAGGGCGCAGCGCCTCCTCCCGCAAAGCGTCACATGAGTGGTGTCCACAAGATTACTCTATATCTCTCTTGAGCCTTGACAGCGTATATAAATGTGCTCAATACTCATGCAGTACTCACGTAGGATGCAAGTTAAAACAAAAACAAGGGCGCAGCGCCTCCCCCCGCAAAGCGTCACATGGTCCTGATAGATTCATTCGCAATGTAGGTGAGCCTTATCATCCACCTTTGTGGCGTTGTCACAGCATACAGCGGTAGCAGTAGACGTAGCAGTTGGTGGGCCATACCATCCACCTTTTTGTAGCGACAAAGATGGTGGGCCATATCATCCACCTTTGTGGTTTTGTCACAGCATGGCAGCAAAGCACACACTTGAATTTGACGACAAGTTTGATCACATACGTTGAAACAAAAGGTGGGCCGTGTCATACACCTTTGTGGCTCTGTCATAGCATTACAGCAGAGCACGCGCTTAGGCTAATTGATTTACTATGGGCGAGGTGGTGTGGCAGCAAAGCACGCACTTGAATTTTGACGACAAATTTGATCACACACGCTTGAAACAGAAGGTGGGCCGTATTATCCACCTTTGTGGCTTTGTCACAGCATTACAGCAAAGCACGCGCTTAGGCAAATTGATTTACTATGGGCAAGATGGTGTGGCAGCAAAGCACGCAATTGAATTTTGACGACAAGTTTGATCACATACGCTTGAAACAGGTGGTGGGCCGTATCATCAACCTTTCTGGCGTTGTCACAAGCCGCGCGGGGGAGGCTTTAAAATAAAAAAGGCGGGAGGGGGGCGCGGGGGGAGGGCGCAGCGCCTCCCCCGCAAAGCGTCACATGAGTGATGTCCACAGGATTACTCTTTATCTCTCTTGAGCCTTGACAACGTATATAAATATGCTCCATACTCATGCAGTACCCACGTAGGATTCAAGTTAAAACAGAAACACGGGCGCAGCGCCTCCCCCCGCAAAGCGTCACATGGTTATGGTACATTCATTCGCAATGTAGGTGGGCCTTATCATCCTACGACATGTTGCAGCTGGATAGGTACTTATACATGCATGTATCCTCCCCTCCTTCCCCTCCTTCCCCTCCTTCCCCTCCTTCCCCTCCTTCCCCTCCTTCCCCTCCTTCCTTCCTCCTTCTCTTCCTGGACTCTCCAAGACCAGATCCAAAAAAAATCCCAAAACACAGAAAAAAAAAAAACGAAAAAAATAAACCTCCCCATGTTTTACCCATGACCTTCATGCTCACTTCAACACGACAAGAGCCCAGCCAACTGGTTAAACTTCATAGCCAGACCGTGGAACAAAAAAATGATTATTCCTTAGGAGCCACTCAGCATGTTCTATAACTCTCGATCTCTTCTGGTCGGTAGTTTCAACCACTTGCAGATCTTTATCGCAAAGAGGATGTAAACCAATCTTAGCAACGCTACCCTCCCGTAAATTGACATAGATATGATTTTTCAAACGGGAACAAACCATGGATTTCCTGTTGCTTTCTTAATGTTGCCAGATTGCATTTGCTAATTAACTTTTCGTCTTTACTACATCGACAAGTTACCATGGGCAGTTACCCCATATGTAAATATGCGTTATCCATGGTTATTGCCAAATATGGAGGTTTCCTAAAATAAGGGTACCCCCAAATCATCCATTTTAATGGGACTTTCCCTTATAAACCATCCATTTTGGGTAATTACCCCCATTTTCAGGAAACCTCCATATGAATATCAATATTCCCAGTTTTCTCACAGACACCAGCGCCATTGCGAAGACCCCTCTTTCACCAGAGCGTCGATGACTTTTACCATGTAGGTGTGCAGAAAGCTCAACACTTGGGCGAAGTGCAGCCTCACGGCAGAGATCGATGCCGAGGGATAGCCCCTCAAAAACTCGTGATTTTGGGCTGGTTCGGCGGCGTCGTCCCCACGACTAAAAGATTCTATGGTACCAGAATGCCCATCCAAGCCTGACCCCGTTTTGAATCGGTTGAAGTGATCATCAACAGGGGTGAACACTGCTCAATCAGCTTGGGCTACCGGATTTTGGTCCAATCATGAAAGGGATTCCTAAACTTCTGGCTATATGAACCTTCTTACCCGAGTAAACTAAGGTAGATTCTATAGATGTGGAAAAACTACCATGAATGTAGATCATCTTCCAAACTGGCTTCCCCATCAGTGTTCCACATCTTTTCAGCTTTTCATCCCTTCAGCGGCCCGCCCGGGTGACTGCCCCCCATGGTTTTTCATGGCGGCCATCTGTCTTGGTACCAGTGGTACCCCAAAATCCATACAAAATAGGATATTCCAGAATCCAGTGCTCCATGTTACCGGTATATCAAAAATGACCCACTGAATTGAAACTACCCGTTTGAAAGATAACGAATTGTATTTTGCATGACAGATGACCAACAGCACGAGATCTTCTTGGCCAGCAATCCCTACGTGCCATATCCATGTCTAATCTTGGATGTGGTAAACCCAATAATAAACAACTACCAGTTGGAAACTGGTTGTACAACCCATTTATTGTGATTGTTTGGATGATGTTTATTGTTGAGGACTAGTATTCACAAACTGGAATACCTCACGGGAATCAAACATGGGAACATCATCGAACTATGTCTAGTAGATTTTCCAGGCAGCCATGGTTCAACAAACTAGAGAGTATACCCATTATATCCCATGAAAAATCTTACTACAATCCCCATTAAATCCATTAAATATCCCATCATCAACATGTATATATATATATTATCTATCCTATTCATGGACTTCTACATATATATATATATATAGAGAGAGAGAGAGATAGATGGATGGATGGATGGATAGATAGATAGGATAGGATAGGATAGGATAGGATAGGATAGGATTAGATTAGATTAGATTAGATTAGATAGATAGATGGATAGATAGATAGATAGATAGATGGATAGATAGATATCCATTTAGAGGATGATTTCCCAGTCACCCATCATTTCTGATTTTCGGTCGGCGCCATCGGCCTATCATCAGGGCTGAGCTCGTAAACCTTCGCCGCCTCGCTGGGACAATGATGATCATCATGGGACAATACTGTCCATTGACGGGATAGCCACATCATTATTGATGGGAGAACAATTATCCAAGATGATTCTCCCATGAAAAAAATCGTAAGTATTGTATCCAAGATGAAATTATCCCATTAACTAATATCCCATGATAATATTGTCACTATGATTATCAGCAGTATTACTATTAGTCGCATTATAATCAGTTTGAGCAGTGGTTTTACCCTCCGGTGTCATCAAGCGTGGATAGCTGGGAAATCCCCGAACTAGCCATGGAGGTTTGGTTCGCTGGGAAAATCATCAAATTATCTATGGTGGATTTCCAGCTGGCCACGTTTGATGACACTGGAGGGTAATGATGGTGAACCAGTTCACCAGATGAATTGGGATATAACAATGTAGTCTACCGATGTAGTACCGTATGTTTGGACAAATCCAATTGAGTATGTTTCTGTATGTTCCAAGTCATTGCGGCAGCCAATTGGGCCCACAACAGGCTGTTCAAACCATTCATTTTGAGGGTTTTTTGGGTTTGAGTGGCGCAATGAGGGTCCAAGTTAGGAAAAATCGATGGTCCAGTTTGGAAGACCATTTTCCATCATTTTCCACGATGCGCCTATTCAACCAGTATAAAATTGGGACATCTGAGGCTGAGGCATCAGATGTAAGCATATTGAATGATCATCGCGACCTATGATCCCACAGGGTACCACTCGACCACAAAAAATGCTGGTCTTTCTCCAGACCTTTCACTGATTTGATGTGAAGTCAACCTTTTATCTATATGAGAGTTGCCATTTTCAATTGAAATTATCACTATTTCGGGCGCCTCTATTGACTCTATTGGGGGGCTGGTCAATCCAGGGATTGTCCCACAGTGACTTTTTTGATATAGCCCTGATTGTTATTGTCTCCTAGTTGGGATTCGGGTTCTCACACGCGTGTTATTCAAATGAATCTGTGTAACTATGTGTATATATCTATATATACACATATTATATATATATACATAATATTTATATATATATATATACATAATATAATTATATATGCAATTATCTACATGCAGTAAATGTACACATATGAATGTATTTGTCTAGAGTCTAGATATGTGCGTTCTAACGCATCGTTACTAACAAGCCTATCATTGGTGGATCAACTCTCCACCTTTTTGGGGTTAGAACGGTTAGACCCCTCCGCAGCCTTGTCAGAAACTTCCCGGAGCTGCCTGTCTCATGCTTGGATGGGGTATGGATGTACCCTCTGGTAATTTAACATAGCTATGGAAAGATCCACCATTTTCAATGGGAAAATCCGCTATTTCTATGGCCATTTTCAATAGCTATGTTAAATTACCAGAGGGTACATACGTACGGATGAATGGATGGATGTATCTATGTATGATTATGCATAAATGTAGGTATGTCAAACCCAACTCAGGTGATCTAATTAAAGAAAAAAAACATAGGATGCCATTTGGGACTGCCAAATAAAAAACAAAACATCGCAGTTCTCCCAGAAAATGATTGCCCCCAGCCTTCGCAGATGGTAAGGTGAATAACAGGTTGGACGTGAGTGTCATTCTATTGATGAGAAGACGACAACCACAGCTCCAAATTTCATTCGAAAATCAAATCAGTCAAACACGCTGCGATCTGAATGCTGACATTGCTAACCTAGGATCCCCTGCAACAAATGTCAATCTTCAGAATGGGTATGACATACACTATGTATCACTATTTCATATTTACATTCTTTACCGAACAATAACCCATGTTCACCTACCTTTCTTCATCTTAGCAGGACCAACCTGGGGCTCGGTTCATACCAGGTCGGGGGACCGGGGGAGCCTCCCATTTTTTCTGGTCCCAATTATATGGTGTCATTCCCTACTAAACCATGGTTTCTGGGGGGATGTTGAATATGAACGGCAGGGCTTCATCATGCCCATGTTTATCCGATGTTTTGACTATATCATCCCCACATTGGGCAAGGTCAGAACCTGTACCCATTTTTGGAGAGTCGCAAAATCGGCCGTTTTCCACTCACAATAGAAAGTGGGATAACAACATGTTTTACATGTTCTTGATTACTTACCCTAGGGTAAACGAACGTAGACGTGGAAAATGGATGAAAATGGCCCATTTATGGATGAAGTTCCACATCGTTCGTTTGCGGGCAAATGATTCAAAATGGACACGTCCCAAATCAACATCCACGAAAACGCCACCCAAATTTGGGAGATACCCTCCAGCAAACCAACCAGCCCTGGAAAATCCTACGATGTACATCGAGATTTTCGGGTCTCCGGTGATGGTGCAAGTGGATGGGGATTTTCCCAGCCATGGTTGATTCCAGAATATAAATTGTTCAACCAGTTATGTCAGTTTACCAGAGGATAATGATGGTTAATATACTGTTAATAATGGTTAATAGTAATGATTATTATATGGTTAATGATGGTTAATTAATTATGATATATCTGGATGGTGGTTGACCTACCCCTCTGAAAAATATGCTCGTCAGTTGGGATGATGAAATTCCCAACTGAATGGAAAAATAGAAAAATGTTCCAAACCACCAACCAGTGTGTTTAAAAAAAACGAACAACCCAAAAATGAGCCACCAGACATAGGCGCCTTGTGAATGGCTTCCCAGTCTCCCTTACAATTTGGGGAGATCATGGGTGTGAAGCACCGCTGACGGGATCATTTGAACTGCTTCCCCTCAATCATTGCCATGGAAAATCCATAGCGGCATGTCCCAGCCATATTTGAGGACACCGGAGGTCTGTGTCAGCTAAATCCCTATCTTTTTGCTGCTTCAGATCCATCATTCTACCATGGTTTTTGTTGACGCATCTTCATCTCGACCCCACCTCAACAGCTTCTGCTTCAGCGCTACCTGTCCGATGTGATACCCCAAGATATGCCATAGGAAGGGTAAAGGGATTAAAAGTCAGTGACTCTGGGTACCATTTTTGGATCCGTGGGTATGGCACAAACGTCATTGAGGTCCGTGACAATTGGCTGTGTTTAGGATCTGAGCCCATCCATTTATTAGGTGTGATGGTTCTGACACCAAATCCAAATACACAAATGATTCCATCGAGCCATGCTAGAAGTGTGTCAGCACACAGTGAATTCATCATTTTGCAGCGGAACGTCTTGAAAACCCATGGTTTCTACCCATAAGATGGATCTGCATTGGGCCAGTTTTTGAAAAAGGAAAGCAATGGATGAAAGGACCTGATTCTGCAAGGTACCAAACAGACATGCGGATTCTGGTAACCAAACTCACTCCCCATCCCATGGATTTTGCTATGCGGATCTTGTTCTATATAGGAAACCGATGGTCTGGCAGCGTCCTTGTGGACACACTTGCTCGCATTGTTCGTGCCGATGACCCACATGTTCCCAATTCTTGCCGGTTTTTGTCATGGTTTTTGTCATGGTTCTATCCCCATTCATCTCCACACTTTGTTTCTTCCATGTCCATTTTGGGACACACAACCGGAACCCATTGCTGTGCCAGCGCCTGGCTGGTCGGCTCATTCTCAGGCCCAGCCTTAGCCCCCCACATGAGCAGGCTTCCAAAACCCCCATTCATGGCAATGGAGAACCATCGTCGTCAATAGACAACCATTTACCCTACAGTGTCATAAACATAGCAATAAGAAATCCAAACAAAAAATGGAGGTTCTAACAGGAACATCACTGGGTTCCTTCTATTCTTGTTGATTATTGTACCTTAAATCCTGTCGTTGTTCCCACATTTGGGGGGGCGAAACATCCAAATGATATACCCAGAATCTACCCCATTGCTCCTGGCTACCGTTCATGTCACAAGCAGCCCCCCGTCAACATCTGAATAGAGAAGCAATTTGGTGGTAAACTAATTTAGCCGGTTCTATTTTTTGCCAGGTACCTATAATATATATATATACACCAAATCCACTGTGTCATCACTCTCCAAAAAATCAGAAAATCACCAACCTGCCAACCCCTTTCATTTCCAAGGTTCCGAAGAATTTCCTGGGCACTCCAAGTGGCTTTCCATCGTTTTCTGTGTGAGAAAAACAGGGGAATGGGGACCCCATGAGTGGTTCAACAGGGTGACCGTTCCCCTTCTCATCTCCGAGTTGCACGACAATTGGTTGTACCCGAAACGCCAGTTGTAATCTGAATGGGAAAGAAATATGAGGACGTTTGTCATTTCATTTTGAGCGGAAAAAAGTGATGAAAAATATTGTTCTTTGACATCACGATTTCAACACCCATCCAGTTGGAAAACCATGGGTGTTGACTCAGCCCCATTGTTTTCGATAGGTTAAATCCCATGTTTGTTGGTCGGATCTCGTTGCCAAAAATCCTGAAAAAAGGAATCTCCCCCGTTGCCAAAGGCACCCGTGAAATGCACCAGCAGCCCCTTTGCACGCCAACAGCTCACTTCCTGCCAGGAAGCACTGGCTTACAGGAACTCTAAGAGTTGCATCACCCGGAACCGCGTCCTGTCTTCGCATGCGCAGGGCGCCGGAAATCCCGGTATGCCTGCAGGGCACCACGCCCATGGTGTTAGGGAGTCCCGTGGTGGATTCTTGCAGGGGTACCCTGGGGTAAACATACCAAAAGATGTGGAAAGCCCATTCTTTACCGGAAAATGTTCTACAAATGGTGGGTTTTCCACATCTATGTGAACGTTTCCAGGACGGTATCATCCAAGTCTTTGTTGGTTGACAAGTTGTCAGCATGTCCGGAGACCACCGCCCGGATGATTTAGAGTAAAATCGGAAAACATGTCGTTTTGCGCATCAAATATGTGGGATTTCCTCCAAAGTCTACCGTTTTTTGAAATCCATGATCATATGGTCGGGAGACTCCTAATTAATAGCTCCAACTGGTTTCCAATTTGATAGGGAACATATACATAATTATAGAATATTATAGATACCCTATGATACCCTTAGTTCAGCTCACCGCTCCCTCCTAACCATTGGATGTTTCGGCTTTGGTGGTTTGGATCGGGCGCGAAATGTCCAACGGATCCACTGGTTGCGTCGTGATCCCTCGGCCAAGCGTCGTCTTATCCGCATGACCAAGGACGAGGGGCAACATCAGCATGAAGATCTCAGCCACGTACAGCGAGATCGAGGAGAATGAGTTCCACCGGTAAAGGCAAGGATTGATCCCAACAATAAACCCTCCCCGACATAAAAGTTGAGGCTCTAAAATGAACGGATCCACACATTCATCTCCTCTTGGGGTCGGCCATTCGAAGGGAACGAAAGCTTCCAGATAGCAGGTGATTCAATCTTTTCTTGATGTAAGCGCAGCACACAGACGAGTCTGAAAAATTGCCGCGATTAGATCCGTCAATACCATCAATATGGCGTACCCTCTGGTAATTTAACATAGCTATTGAAAATGGCCATAGAAATAGTGGATTTTCCCATTAAAAATGGTGATTTTCCATAGCTATGTTAGTTTACCAGAGGGTAACATCCGATTTCTCGCTCAACACCTTTCCTCTACGCCCTGAGGTATTTGACGCCGTGCGGATCCAAGAACTCTTCTGCGGAGAGTTGCGTTCCATGGCGTTCCCTTTTTTTATCAGGATTAGTTGATATTGACAACACAAAAAAAATGGACAACATCAAATTATATATATATATTGATTGCTAATCCAATATGGGAACATAACAATATCCATCAATATCCTATATTGGATGATAGGTTTAAAATCCTCACCAAACCGGCGAGCTCCTCCCCACCGGCGAGCCAAGCAGCTGAGTACAGGATGAGCCCCTCTTGCCAGCGCAACCTGCCGAAAAGTGGCGCCAAGTCGAGATCAAATGGATAAAAATGAATCAAAATGGATGAAATGAATGGACATTGATGGTGGATTCAAACTCCACTTCGGAGGGCAACCATCACTTTTGAGAGTCACCCTTTGGAGATTTGGTTCCCCATGTCTGCAGCCTAATCAAAGAGCTACGCTTTTCATCAGGCTTTGGAGCGCTGAGCTTTAGAACTCGGTCCTTTCCATGTCAAAACACCACCCCACTCTGGGCCATCCAGAAGGAATAAAAGAAGTCGACCATCACTATCTTAGATTATCTTAATAGTGATTTACTGCAACGTACTATCTTTTGGCTTTGTCTGTTTCTTGGGGAAAACCCTAAAATATCGTTTTACAGAGTAAAACGCAGCTCTTGAAATGGCCAGGTAAAGTGTGGACACATCTATCCCTCATCTTGGACAAACCCCTATCTTTAGGAGATTAAGGGTTTACCAGATCATGAATCATTATACAGCCCCACCATTATGGGATGTAAGCTAGTTACTGTCCATTGTTGCGGTCATTATAAACGGTCTTGCATCCCCATTCTCAACAGTATTATTACAACTGTTACATTATGATGATCATTATTGTTGCTGTCACTAGCATTGCAATCGTTATCATTATCATTATTATTACCATGGCAATGGAAAATCCCCAATGTTATAGATGGTTGTCCCATTAAAACTCTTCATTCACAGTGGTTTAAAAAAACTGCCACGTTTGACTACCGGAGGGTATCATCACATAATCATATATACTGTAATTATTGTGGTAATGATCATCATCATTACCTTCCACAATGCAACCTGGCTTGCTGGAACAACATCTCGTTCCCGTAGATCTTCCTGTTTGGGGAAATATCCAACCAGCCGTGCTAGGGCCACCTGTGGCGGCGATCATCGAAGAGCAACTGCAGGGGGAGCAAGGCTGCTACTACCACGGAGGAACAGGCGAAGCAGACCTAAAGAACAACGAGAATGAAAAGCGCAGCTGCTGGAGTTTTCCATAGTTTTTCCATAGTTGTTTCCCATTTACAAAAAAGTTTACCAACTGAAAATATGGAGTTTTCCATAGGTTTTCCATGGTTTTTTCCATGGTTTACCAACTGAAAATATGGAATTGCACCAGCCAAATGGAGTTTGATTTCGACACAACTTGCCATAGAATCTGACTCCTTCTCTGGCAAGGGACACGGGGCTGACTGGACACAGGGGGGTGCAAAACTGCCTGGGTAAAGAAAACAGCCTGGAGAGTTCAGGGGAGAACTTACACCCACCCACGCTCCGACGTGAGTTTTCCCATATCATAATCTAGAATTTAACCAGTCAACATGGTGTTCGGGGATTTAACCCATGAATCATGGATTATAAGGATCAACAAGGATCGGTTTGGTTGGGAAAATCGGCGAAACCATGCTGGAAATGCCCCCAATTATGAGTGTCCGATTCCTGTGGGTTTTTGTTCCCCCTTCCCAAGTGGCTAGGAACCGTGCTGTGTAAGTCCCCTAGAAAAGGCATGTATCTATTCATGTACACTTAAACTTACCCTCTGGTAATTTTAACATGACTATTGAAAATGGCCATAGAAATAGCTCATTTACCCATTCAAAATGGTGATGTTCCATAGTTATGTTAGTTTACCAGAGGGTAAATTGTGAGTCATGACTCTTTACTACCAGACATGGGTCCTCCCGGTGTAGCCACCTCCCAGGGATGTTTTAAGCACTTTGGAAGCCTCTAACCATCAGACAAAACAGGTCATTGTGTCGTTGTGGGTCAAAAACTTAAAAGCCATCAACTTTGGGCAGTTCTTCATTTTTTCGAAATGATCACTCTTCAGGAGCTTCACCAGAGTCGAACCAGAGTTTGCCACATCGCCACACTAGTTGTAGCTGTCCAAAGTCTAATGCGTGGGGGTTTGTATATCCCGATTCCAAAAGCGGCATTTTTCGCAATTCCAATGGACTTCATCAGCATTTTCCCTGTGATAAAAATCATAAAGATTCAGCCATAGAAAATCAGAGGATTGCCATGGATTCAGCGTCCAAGTGACCAGCTTTACGGAGTGGCTGCTTCGAAACAGCAAGGCAGAAAGGAAGTTTAAAGTGACCACCTCAACGGGGCAAAAACGGAAGTCGTCCTGTGACACTATGCGTTAAAAAAAATGGCTTCTAGACTTACTATATAAATATAATTATGTTCCATTTATGTATGTATGTAATGTAATGTAATGTAATGCAATGCAATGTAATGTAAGGTAAGGTAAGGTATGTAGGTATGAAGGTATGTAGGTATGTAGGTATGTAGGTATGTAGGTATGTATGTATGTAGGTAGGTAGGTAGGTATGTAGCTATGTAGCTATGTAGCTATGTAGCTATGTAGCTATGTAGCTATGTAGGTAGGTAGGTAGGTAGGTAGGTAGGTAGGTATGTAGGTATGTATGTATGTATGTAGGTAGGTAGGTAGGTATGTAGGTAGGTAGGTAGATAGGTATGTATTGGGATGTATTGGGATGTATTGGGATGTATTGGGATGTATGTATTGGGATGTATGTATTGGTATGTATGTATTGGTATGTATGTATTGGTATGTATGTATTGGTATGTATGTATTGGTATGTATGTATTGGTATGTATGTATTGGCATGTATGTATTGGTATGTATGTATTGGTATGTATGTATTGGTATGTATGTATTGGTATGTATGTATTGGTATGTATGTATTGGTATGTATGTATTGGCATGTATGTATTGGCATGTATGTATTGGCATGTATGTATTGGTATGTATGTATTGGTATGTATGTATTGGTATGTATTGGTATGTATTGGTATGTATTGGTATGTATTGGTATGTATTGGTATGTATTGGTATGTATTGGGATGTATTGGGATGTATTGGTATGTATTGGTATGTATTGGTATGTATTGGTATGTATTGGTATGTATTGGTATGTATTGTAATGTATTGTAATGTAATGTAATGTACAGTACTGTAATGTAATGTAATGTAACGTAACGTAATGTAATGTATGTATGTATGTGTATCTATATATATATCACAGTATCACACATATAAATACACATACACATTTGCACATATGCACATGTACATATGTAAATATACATCTACATGTACATATACATATGCAAATATACATATACATATACATATATATATATATATAAGAATACTTGTGCAGATGTTCATATTCTACTTCTGCTATCCAAAGCCGGCTAGTTTGTTTGGAAGTCGCATGAAACAACCTCCTGTACTGTACATCACTTCGCAAAGACCAGAATCAGCTTGCCTTCAACAGGTCATAGGCGATGATGTTCTCCATTCCCCAGCTGAGACGAGATAAAACGCCTCTTCCGCAGCTGGCTGGTCGGCTGGGCATTGAACCATCATGAGAGGGGGGTTTAAGCATCCATAAAATACGGGATGTTTCTAGCCATAAACTTGAATATCTCCCATTTCGGTCTTCAAAATGAATAGATCATAGTATGAGCCTGCAGATCCAACAAAACCATGGCTCCGATTGGAAGTTGTTGAATTTGAATAATGTAAGTGGTAAAGAATGATAAGATGTCACGAGTCTGAACGCATGGATGGTCCTCAGGAACCTCCATTCACTGTTCGCTTCTCCAGTTGAAAAACGCCACCCTGGCATGGCCTTTCCTCAAGCGATTGTCAGCTGTCTGGATGGTCAAAAAGGATCCCACATGACCGAAAAAGGCGTCACGTTTTTGGGGGAATTCGAACTCCTACTATCCCAGAAGGTTGAGGGAATCGACAATCGATCCTGGCACAACGACAAACTCTTGATTCAATTTGCCTCCACATTGGAGGTGAGGCCCATTCGAACGGGCCCCCTGCAGGCACCCCACCGGCGCCTGAAGCAAAGGGCAGGAGATTCACCAGGGCCACTAGCAATGGTGGACATTCCAGGATGCAGTGCGCGCGCAAACCCACCAAGATGAAGCCCAAAGGCAAGCCTTGGTGCGGATGCGACGCTGAGAAGACAACGCGCGTTGGACATAGATGCGTTTTTTCCATGATATGATGATATGTATAACATGTAATATGTGATCAGTAAATCATGGATAAATATGGATAAATAAGTTTTGAAGATGATTCATGGACTAGTCACTGATTGAAGCAGGGCCAGGTTTGTTCTTGGCAAGTGTGGACTTTGACCATCCGAAGTGCTTCAAAATCAGCAGCTGGCTTCACCAGGTTGGTTTCCAGGTCATAGGATCAAAATAGAAAGAGACCACACCAACTAGAGACAGCAGCCTCGAATTGGATTTCTTCATGAGACTCCCTACCCGAAAGGCGACCCAAATGGGGGAGGCTTCAGTTCTTCACATTGTTATTCACTACCATCAACCTCTATTGGGCCTCTTGGGGGCTTGTTGCGGGGGCAATGCCCGAACTCGGCAGCGCTGTGCAGCCATGCAGCAAGACGCAACGAAAAAGGTTGCAAAAATCACCCAGAACTCCTGGAGATTTGTGACTTTCCATCCGGAAATGGGACCCGTTGAAGGATCTTAAAGATTGGTCTCCCTATGTCCAATTTGTTTCAGGAACAACTCATCAAAAATCTGCTTTTCTCCTGAATCCATGGTTGGGTCTCAGGGCAGTTTTGAAAACAGCCCTCGGATTCAACCCAGCTTTTCCCAGTCGTGGACTCCCAGAAGCGACTCAGGATCCGTTCATTTGGGATCCCCAAACATAGTAAGGATGAGATTGTATCTATATCCGTTTCTATCTTGTAGACGAGCCCATACAAGTAGCATACTTTGCAGCTTGCAAATGTTGCAATATATTAATGAGATAAGTTCAATAGTAAACCATCCACAATTGGTGTTTACTTTTGGAGATACTCCTGTTTTTGGATGATTCAAAATGGCCTCAAATGGTTGGTTACTGGTGATGGTGCATAGCATCGGGTTTCCTATACTTGGATTTGCCCAAAAATTTGGTATACCGTACATATACCCCACTAACATGGTGATTCTAACTGGGGAAATAATGGGAAAAAGAACGTGAATGTTTTTTTGTACTCCCTTTCCGCTAATTTAAAAAACACCCCTTAAACGAAACCATGCTTTAGTAGGGAATTTCCACATAATTGGGACCATGCAATTGGGGTGCAACAATAGGCTGATGGGAGTACTCACCGCCAATGATTCTCCCATGTGAAAAAATTGCCACGAATTGTTCGGGGATTTCTACCATCACACAATGTTGATTCCCACAGTTAATTCCCATGAATATACCAATGAAAAAAACCCTGTTAACCATTGAATGATCCCTTTCATCATTGAGATAATTGAGATCATCCCATTTAAATCGGCCCCATGTTGGTTGAAAAAACCACTCCCCCCACAGCCCACAGCACATCCATCCTCTCGAACCTCATGGCTGCGGAAGAGTTCCAACACGCCCATGCACAGCATGGCGCCTGCAGGGGAGCCGGGGATGAGCCGCTGAACTTCATGACGTCATGGTTGGTTCCATCTACTATCCATACATGTATATATATATATATAGATAGATATCTTATATAGTAATCATAGTAGTCCAAAGAAAAAAATCCTGGCTGGCAATCCCGGGAGATCCAAGAAAACGATCTTCCAATAAGTATCCATATGTATATATATATATGTATATATATATATATATTGTTTTTTGTTGGTTTTCTCGAGGTTTTTTGTTTTTTTTGGTTTTCCTCATGGATTCTCTCCCAAAGAGTCGTCAAATATTGTGTTTTTTTGTTTTTTTGTTTCCAACTTGTTTTGATCGTGTGCACAGCTACTACCCACAAGACATCTTTAAAAAATAGCTGACTCTTATACATATATGCACATAAATATATAATAATATAAATATATATATATATATGTAGAGACAATATATCAAAATGCTCTGAGGTAGATCTCAGGGGGGGGTGCCATATATATATATATATAGATAGATAGTGTGCGTGTGTGTTTTTCTGGCTGAACTTCTGGCCATTTGGGGATTGGAATCCAGTTCCCATCATTCCAGTGACCTCAAAACTGCCCCAAAGATGATGTCCTGTGGAAAAAACCATCGCCCTTTTGCCAAGAAAACTGTGATGAACATAAAATCGAAAGGTTGTAGCTACACATTTTCACGGTAACCTCTGGTTAACTTAGCGAACTTGGAAAATCACCATTTCTAATAGGTAAATCATCATGTTTATCATCTATAAATATGGGATGTTTTATCGCAAACCATTAAATAACCAGAGAATAACTTCATTTCTGCGTCTTCCAACCGGTTGCAAAAAAAAATAAGAAGTCCTCCGAAATTCACGACCGTCCTGCATAGAGCAGCGTGGCAGAGCCCGGCCGCAAGGGCAAGCAGAAGTCGAAGCTTTCGTTCACGAGGTTCTGGTGAAGCTGACTGGGACGTGTTTACCATATGGTGGATGGTTGCGAAATCCATCCTAAAAACCAGTTGGTAGATGGGCAAAATCCCATGTTTTTCCCATTATCACCCCAATACTTACAGTGTTTCATAACAAACCAATAGTCACCAACTGGTGCCGGATTTCTCTGGCCCATCCACAGTATCACTGATGAAGTTCTCAGATGGCTGGGAAATCATCCAAATGGATGTAAAAATAGTATGGATAGTTATGGATAATGGGATATTTAATGGATTACAATGGGATTACACTGGGATCGTGGGAGATAACATGGGTATGCCCTCTGGTAATCAAACATGACTAGCTGGAGAAAAAGAAAAAACATGTAGTTCGAGGATTCTGACAGCTATTAATCTCCATTTATAGAGGATTTCGCATTGCCATGTGTTTAAATAATCATCCCTGAAATTAGCAATAGGTTAGTAAAATGGCTCTAAAGCCAGCAATTGTTAGGAAGAGGATGTGAGATAATCCGTGGGAATCCAGACATTGTTGGAAAGTGGTACCAGGGTCCCTTGTCAGAACAGAAATCATCGGTCCGTTGTTTCTTTCCTACAGAAGAAAACGAATGTCTCTGCTCATCCACGTCTCTGGATCAACCTACTATTCCCGCCCTTTTGAGTGATACTGGGGTTTCAGAGGATCTCTAAAAGTGATTCACATTTGCGGAGAAACCTCTGATCCACTCACTTTTCTTGGATGGAAGAGTGGCGGCACCAACAGAAGCACCGGTTTTCGTGTAAGCACTAGGGCTAATGGGCTTAGTCTCCATAGTATCCTCAGAAATTTCAATTTCGACATTCCCACCGTCGCAACAAATGTTGCTCCTTTGATCCCAGCAGGTTTGATCGGTTTGATCATTTTCGGGTCAGCTTACATCCAAAAAAAACACAGCTCCACAGCCGCAGTCGCAGCTTTTTCAACGCCACATCCATCAGCTGCCGCGCGCAGCTGGGACCGATGCTGTCGCTGACAGAGCGCGACAAAGGGGCCTGTGGCCAGGCTGGGAAATATGTCTGATATGTGTGGCACAGTGGCCATGTGGATTAATATGACATATGTGGATTAACAGTATATACATGGCCATGCAATCCCTATAAATAGATAGTAACTAAAGTAACTATATAATACATTCGGAGATCGAAACATGGTCATTTAAGGAACTAGTGGCAAGAAACCTTGTAATTAATCATTCATTGATTCGCTTGGAACATGGATTTTGACCGCCAAATATGGGTTCCTCTTCAATTTGCGTCCAATTCTTGGATTACTGTACTCGGATGATAGTGATATGGGAAGCCCAATTTACTAACCAAGTTTTTGGGTTTTAGACAAAATTAGAAAGAAACGCCAAATTTATATATTTAAGCTTGGGTTTACCACATTCAGTGGTTCCCAACCCTGGCCCACTATAGAGCCAATCCCAGAAATCCATTGAAAAATCCCCTCAATGTGGGTTAAGACGTGATAAGAAAAATTGGACTGATTGGACAGCAGATTTTCCCATCACCCAACTTTGACCCATGACATTGAAAACACAATTTTCCCAAGAGAAACACACGTAATCGTGAACGAAAAAAAAATGTTGAAAATCGCCAGTTGCAGATCATCTTTCCCGTCTTCAAATTCCCCAGTTGCAGATGATTTTCCATGAATTTCCCATCGGCCTGCCCAGGGCTATGGTTCCGCCCCAGGACAGAGAGCATGGGAAGGTGTTCACGACGATGCAAGAGATACATCTCCTAGCATGTAACCCCTGGAAGATGTTCCTATCGATCCTGGAAGTTTCTGAAGATGGTTTTCCTATGGATCTTGGAAGCTTGGGAGTTCCATGTTGAATTTAGGGTGTGTAGGCGAAGACTATCTGGCAGCTTTCACTACCACTAGGAGGACTTGACTTGGTCATTTTGTTGACAGGTTTAAACAGAATCAGCATGGGAAAAGTGACCAGAACCATCAGACCCTGGTAGCCAGAGTTGTTGGGCATACGTGGTGATAACCATCCAATTTGCACAATTCTGTCCCCCACTTCAGCGAAGTTCATCAAAATCTGGTCTGGATTCACCGAAGTATCTTGCCAACTGGCGAGCGCTGCCCTTAACAGGCACTGACACGGTCTCTGGAAAATTATGAAATGATGCGTGACACCCACCAAAAAGAGTGCAACTAAATGAGCATATCAATGTTGATAAACTGACAAAACACGGAGAATGATGTCCTCTCCGGTGATCAAACGCGGCTAGCTTGACAATCCCCTGTTTAGTTCGATGATTTTCCCAGCTATCAACATGCGTGACACCCACCGCCTGCGGCTCCAACGTCGGCATGCCACGCAGGCTGGTCACCAAAGGCGACGCGCTCGTTTCCGAAACGCGACTTCGGGGAAGCCTCGGCAGCCACCCAGGAACTCGGCAGGGAGATTCATGGTGAGCAAATGGTGAGTGGGGGAGATTCACCAAGAATTGAGGCTTTAATCAACAACCGGGGAAAAGTAGTGATTTAATGGTGACTTAATGGTGATTTGCGCATTAAATGGGACATTCCCAAGCATATTGTGATTTGGGAGTGTCTGAAATTGGACAGCAATTGTCATGGGGAAAATGGTGATTCATCCATTGGACCTAGGGGGTACTGGTTTGTTGATTACAGTTTCTCTTACTGTACTTTAATCCCCATTTTTTCATTAACCTCACAGGGTAATTCACCAGCTATCGCATCAATGGTTGGTGAGAAATACAGCATATGTTTGCATCATGTTGTTTTTCTGAGTCTGAACCCCATGTTTCTTCCTTGTTGGTTACATTCCAACTTTCTTCTGCACCTCATGCCCTGGGCCTTCCATCCCCCGCACATCCACCGGGGATATATCATCCCCAAGCTGTCTGGTTAAGTCTCGATATTGAGTGGTTAAATTCTTCCTTTACATGTATATTATATATATAATATATGTACATATACACACACCTATACATATACATATAATTATAGGCATGCATTTATGTCACTGCTAAAATCATTCGTCTTTATCGATTTAAAATGCCAAAATCACAATTTTCCTGGCTTTCACAGCCCCCATCAGGGCGCGGCATCCCCGGCCTGGCCACCTGTCGCATCGCCGCCCTCCGCGCCCCTTCCGCGCTGAAGCGGCGCGCCATGCCGCGCTCGCAGGCGCCCAGTAGGTCGTGTAGGGCGAAGAGATGCGGAGCGCCGTGCGCGGCGCGCAGCGCGGAGCTCAGACGAAGGGCCAAGGCCTAGGGTTTTTGGACGGCAAAGATGAGGATATGGGAGTTTTACTAGGGGGACCCCCAAATCTTCCACTTTCATAGGATTTTCCATTATAAACCATCCATTTTGGGGTACCCCCATTTGAGGAAAGCCCATATCACCAAAACAATCCAATGAATGGGATGTGGGTACAATGACCAACATGAGGGGTTGAAGCAATGTATAGTATGTCAGAATGGGCGGATATAGATTGGAATCTTGTCCCAACAAAAATGATGGACAAATGGTTTTCATAACGTTTGAATGTGCTTCGGTGGATGATATCGTTCAAGGTGAAATTTGCGTAACTTGTTGAGGGCATTTGGGAGCCACTCACATGGACAAACACTACAAGTGCAGTAGATGAAAATTCAAGAAAAATATCACAAACAGAACCCACAGGTTTGATCCCAGTTCAAGAAAACCACTAGCAAATCAAATGGTGATGTTTCGACCATCAAATCTGTGCCAGAATGGTTTCACACCAACAATGACCCGCTCCATGCAGTGGGGATGCCCATTTCGAGCCGTGCAAGCACGCATTCATGGACACCTCACCAGCGATAAAAACGACCCAGAAATATCTACAGAGAAAACCTACGAGCCACCAAAACATTGGGTTTTTTTCATGAAAAATTTGGATTTAGCCATCAAAAAATTTGCATTTTCCTACCACCAACTGGGATCTAAGATTTAGCTGGGAATACCCTCCGGAAAACCCTATCTTTGATCAAAAGATTATCTATAAACCGCAATTTTCCCAGAACAAAATACGAAAATGCAGCTGAAGTTTCTGAGGCCCCCCAAAATGATGGAACAGTGCCTTGCCCCTTTGAACATCTGATTCGATACTGGTGGGATGGGATTGCTATCCTGCTGAAAATGAGTTTTGGACAAAAAAAAACAGGTCCAAGTACCACCAAAACAACTTTGGTCATCGTCATTTTCACTCATGACAATTTATGGGTATAAGTGTCCCCAATGTCAGACCATAAATTGGGAATCGTTCTCGAATTGAGGATACTTACCAATTATTACCATACTTGCCCAATTTTCAGATCATCATCATTTCACAACATATTTTGTTCACCCATAAATTTGAGACAAATTTCGCATAGTTTTCCCAATTTCAGGCCATTGTCATCATATGTTTTCCCGTCAAAAAAAAATGGGTGGGTCAAAAATTAAGGCCCCGAAGGGACCTCAGATTTTTCGTATATATGTGTTTAGTATATTAACCATCTAATGATTGGGGCACCCAATGACTTGACCCATATCTCAGTTATGGATATAGTTATTTACTCCAAAATTGTGTTCATGTTTTTTTCTAGATTAGCTAGAGTATAGTATTTTGTTTGTGTTGGTTTTTCCATGTTTATCCTATATTTTGTTTGTTTTTTCGATGGTTCCATGGTCATCCTATGGGTGAACGAAGGTGAAGTAACTGCTGCCCAAGAGCATTGAAGGTCACCTCGCTGGGGACCACCGCAGTCAGCAGCTCCAGGCAACGTTGCCACTCGGAGGCTTTGCCGCAGGCGCTCGCGGCCCTATATCGTGGCGCGTGACGTCGAACAGTATGGGAAACCATAGGAAAAATCTAGGAAAACATTGATTTTTTGAGAACATTATGGGACACCATGGGAAAAATATGTGCAAGATATTGAAATATATATATATATATGGAAAGGTTAAGCTCAAGCGGACGAACAGTAGTCCTAGGGGCCCCCCGCTGCTTGACCTAAGTGGAACAAGTTCTAGGGTGTGTTTCCACGGGATCCTGTGTGCTCAGCCAACCCGCTAGCGCTTGGTGGTGCATCGAGTGGCAGGTGGCTTTGGCGCGCTGTCCCAGCAGCGTTAAAATCCTGGGTACCGACTCAACTGGTATCGCCCTGCTCGGTAGGCAGCAACAGCGTTCCTTGCACAACCTCTTCATCCAGTATCATCTCCTTTCGGCTCAGTGTACTGTTTGCGGTCATTGACTTTGAGGGAATCACTGTGTATGATTAGGTGGTTTTTGACCTACTCTGTCGTCATTTTGATTCAGGACCCTGTGAGTAATTTTCGTTTTGTAGAGCACGATAACGCCGACACAAAGGGGGTTATCAAGGAGGGCGGGGCAAGAGCCAGAAGAGCGTTCTATCTCCACAAGAAGAGCTTGTGCATTTTGGATCGCCCCAGACTGGACAAGATCTACCTCACCTTGAGCAATCATCATTCCAGGGACGTCAACTACTTGCAGACTATCATTGCAGCCATGTCAGAGACAGATCCGTGGCGTTGCAAGTGGTGTATGCGTCTCAACAAGGCGAAAGCCTTGAGATGTGGGCGGTGCGACTATCAGTGGCATCGATCCCACCTACGTACACGGAGGCAGAGTCAAACAGAAATGGGATTGGACCTATGTGGGCTAGAACGAGGACGATGGCACCAAGCGTTCGTCCAGGAAGTCTTCGGCATCGCCACACAGCTCACGGAGAGTCCAAACAACCAAATCACGCAGAAAGAAGAAACAGAATCAAGAAACTGCTATGACTCCGACCTTAGATCCACCATGGACCAGCAAGCAGGTTGGACAACTCCATCAGCACCGTCGCAGAGTACGTCGACTCAAGCAGACGCCAGCGTCGAGGCCAAATACAATCGACTGGTAGCAGCTTTGGAGAAGCAAGAGAACTCCGAAGAAGTGCAACAGATCGTAGAAGAGGGCTCGGTCAAGGTAGCATCTTCCAAACAGATGCATGCTTTAGTCAAGAAGCTCGACCAAGCGCGAGACAAATTTCATGGGGCTCAAAAGGCCAGGCAGAACCTTCACGACTCCTGGACGAAGTACCTCGAGGAGTCCATCAAGAGATGGAAAACGTTCGCAGAGGACTTCGGGAACAAAGATCGCGACTTGGAGGCCAAGGTCAATCAGGCGAAGGACAAGTTGCAGGAAGCTCGTCACCACCTCAACGAGACCAAGGAGCAGTTGTCCAACCGGGACAAGGACTTCATCAAGGACGTCGAGATTGTGGATTCCGAGATGGACGAGGAGACGAACAAAGTGGAGACGTCAGAACCTATTCTGGCGGGCATCAGTGCGATGGTGGAGAATTTGGAAGCTGTACGAGTACGACCTCAAGAAGATGCGATGGAGCATACCGCAAAGAAGGCAAGAACGGAAAGTGCAGAAGTTGGAGAGCCTGGTTCTGTGCCCTCTGGGCCGGGTGCCAGAATGCTTCAGCCTTTTCCACAGGCGGGCAAATAGACAATTTTGAGGTTTGCCATGCGCCTGAGACGCATCTGTGCTTCCCAGATTACACAACTATCTGGGATCACAAGATCATCAAGAAGCACATTTTTGTATCGGAGTGGAAAGCTAGCATCAAGGCCATCGATCTTGCCTTTGAGATGGGATGTTCAACGCAAGACAACGCTTGGACCTTTGTCAAACCACCTAGATGCAATCGGTCACGTCGCCACATCCGTTTCAACACTGCCGTGGACCTCCATGCGGGCCCGGAGGACGACGCAGAGTTGACGAGGTGGCATCATGCTCTTGAAGTTCATCATAGGGCATCACTCTTTCACAACGAATGGGAATCTGATCAGGTTTCTTTTAAGGCTCGTCATGATCCTGGACTGATCCTGGACTACCTCCAGTACATGAACGCACAGAAGAGCCACATCGTTTGGATCAAAGAGCGCTTGCTCAACAAGAAGAGAATGAACTCATCAATGTGCTCGTGGATGCAACATCAGAAGGTGCAGTTTCTGAGGACTCTTGGTCATCAGATACGCCAGTTCGAAGTAGCTGGAGAACCACTCTGATCTTTGCGTTACACAGACAAGCCACTACTTTGCGCTTGGACTGGAGAGACTATGACCTTGTCCATGACAGCATAGCACATGAGCTTCAACTCTTCCCAGCTGACGTGTATCACGTTCATCGAGTACGCCATCCTCCGGAGGATCTTTTTCGAGCCTATGTTGAACCTGTTGTAGTGCAAAGAGCTTTGGACCTTGCACCAGGTTCCACAGAAAAAATGGTCCTTGTGGACGTTGAATTTCACTCAAGCAACATTGCGTCAGTGCCCGAAGTGGTACGGCAAGCTAGATCAATTTTCACCAGCATGACTCGAAGCCAACTTCTACATCATTTAGGCCTGCGACCATACTGCCAACAAGTAGCGCATCGGTGTTTGGTGTGGAAGAACAATGTCCTGATCTCACAGGGCCATCAACAACTGTACTTGGCACCTGGAGACTATCTCAGAATCGCAGTCCCACCGCCAGGGGATCGTTTTGACCACATTTCGACCAAATGCATTGCCACAGCCTATCACCGTGGCTTTTCACCACAGGATGTTTTGGACAGGCACACCATGTACATCCTCGGATGGTATGACTATGTCATTGATCCACCTTGGCTACCTAGAAATCCAGTACATCAAGAAGATGAGGGCTATGGTTTCCTGCAGACTGCGGCGTGTATGCTACCAGCACTGCCAGATTATCCCAATTGCCTTCGTGATGACTTCAAGAGCACTATTGGACAGGACATCCGAGACATCCGACATCCTCACATGTCCTCAGGATCGACTTGAGGACGAGCTTCCTGATTACACTCAATATGTCAGGCAGGGTCACGAGGACACGCAAGAACCTCCTGCACTTGATCATGGTGGTATTTTAGCGCAACCTGCAACCATCCAAGAACTACATGATGTTTGGATTCATCAGCTTGCGCAACAACCGCCAGAGAACCCAACACCCATGGTCTTGATTACATGGTATCTCGACATGGAGAGACTTGACACTTGCACACAACCCAGGGAGATTGAGCTGAACTGGGATGTTACTCAGTGGGTGCACCAACTCTTCGAGATATGGATGGATCACATTGATCCTGCATGGCCTCTCAACTTGCACTTGGTTCGACCACAACCACCTGCTACGAGCAGACGACCCAGGACTGCAGTCCATTTCATTGTTGCCCAGCGGTCATTGCACGATCAAGTTGCCAATCTGTTCACCATTGTCGACCAGAGACTTCCAGAAGGTGTCCAAGATCTAGCAGCATTTGCACCCATCAGGCTCAGCAAGGACGATGTCATCATTGCGACCAACTATATCGACAGCTGCCACTCTGAAAGATCTCCCTTGCAGTGTATGACATGGCATGGTGATTTTGAGTTACGAGGGCGAGTTGCCTTGCGAAATCGACATGGACTGTCCATCGTATTCATTTATCAAGAAGTATTTGGATCCCACACATCCGACATGATCTCACAATGGGATCAAGAAGACACAGAAGAAATTGGGCTATTACAGCATTGGGCCTCCAGTAAAAGTCGATTGACACTGGAACTTGACCAACTGATTCCTGCCAGGACAGCTGTCCGTCTACTGGCAGCGTCTGGCCCTGGTGTTTTGCCATCACCGCTGGAGATTGACATGCCAGGCAATGCTGTACAAGTACGACAAGAACTAATGCATTGGGGACATGACTGTGAAGTATTCCAGTGTGAGCCGCGCAACATCTTTCTCTGCATAGATCTTGCGCAAGAAGCACAACCGGACCTATGTCATTATCTTTTTGCCACGATGATGTCAATGATTATGAAGGGTGCTTCCTCCATAGCGCACATGGTGAACTTCATCCAGGACAACTCATGAGCCTCCTTTGCTCACTGGATTATCCCAGAGCTGTCATCATTAAAGGTGTGCAGCTACGTGACAAATGGTACAGGGTCATTTTTCACCACAGTGAACCACAACTTGCGGTCCAGCATCTGACCGCATTCGCACCCTTGGCCAGAGAAGTTTACCGCACACATCGATGTTTGGTTGACTATCAAGATCGTGCTCCTCTACAAGCCAGGTGCACCTTGACAAATGACTTTGACGTGAAGGATTTGGATGCACTTTTTCATTCTGGCTTGGATGTACTGTGCACAGATCTCAGTGTGCCGGAGCTTTCACCTGAACTTCGAGCTGAACTTGAACAATGGCCTATCAGACCTTTGAAACGGATCCAAGACTTAGATCACTACGACCGTCTGCTGATCTTTATGGATGGTTCCTCCAGGCCGAGCATGCGCCGGGTGCGGTGGGATCCAGATGGCGCTGCCTACACAGGCATCAACAGACTCGGATCAGACATGGCGGAGCGATGTGGAGACTGTCATGCAATCACGCCATTCCAACCATTGTGCGTACAGATTCAACAATGTGCGCTGGTCAGGCGAGTGGAGAGACTGGCACGGCCCATCCAGATGAATCTTTCTGCCTCATAAGGGCTCTGTTCCGGGCACTTGAACTGGCACTACCACCAGGTGATTTTCATTTGCATCACGTTCGAGCACATGCAGGTGAATTCTTTTACGAGATTGTCGACACAGCAGCCAAGCAAGAAGCGCATCAATCTTTCAATTTGCCGAGACAAAGACTTGATCTGAAGGTGTGGCGTCGCAAACTACTGCAACTTTGGACACTCATTGGGCAGAAGTGCGGTTTGCCACCTTGGCACAATGGAGGTTTTGACATTGCAGTTCCTGATCTCCCTATGCAGCCTGCCAGCACGATCGGCCCTGACACGCAGCAAGTGAGTATGCATTCTTCACTCTCGACAACGATCTTTTCTTGTAGCTTTGCGTCAGCAAATGTGCAGTCACTTTATCGAGGTCCCCATGGACATACAGGAAAACTGCACTACTTGCATGAGCAGATGCGTCAGTTCCAGCTCAACTTCATGGCTGTCCAAGAAGCACGTTCAAATGAGGCCATGACGAAGCACAACCAGATCTTGCGAATCAGTACTGGCCACAGCAATGGACAATATGGTGTTGAACTTTGGGTGGATCTGCAGTTACCATTTTGCCATGTGGGATAGCACCGACAGCCCAAACAGTTTCGCAAGGAGCACTTTGTGGTCACACATCGAGATCCGCAGCGACTCTTTAGTACATTGTCTGGCGGAGCAGCTGGACATCTGGATCTTCTGTGGCCACGCTCTACATGGTGGACATGCTGCTCAGGACCGTCATTCATGGTGGCAGGAAACACAGAACATCCTGGCCAAGTTTGTGAACAATCCAGAATTGATCCTCATGATGGATGCCAATGCCGCCCCAGGTGAACAAGATGATTTCACAGTTTTCTCTGAAGGTTTTCGCACCTCAGTGAACTCCTGATTTCAGAGAATTGCTGACTACGTGGGAACTGTATCTACCTGCCACAAGTGGAGTTCATATTGGCACCAATTCAACATGGGTAAGTTTGGATGGCATGGCAGAGCATTGCATTGACCACATCGCAATTCCGCTGAGATGGTGGAAGAGCTGCACACACTCCCAGACGCTCACAGAGTTTGACCTTGCGAACGTGCATGAAGGTAACGGAAGGCTAGAAGGCCATACGGAAGGTAACGGGAAGTTACGGGAGGCTACGGAAGGTTTTACTTGAGGTTCCGGGAGGCTGCGGCACGCAACGGGAGGTCACGGAAGGTTACGGAAGTTACAAGAAGTTCTGGGAGATTACGGCACTTAACGTGAGGTTACTGCGAGGATTCGGTGGAACAGAGGCAGCCCTTCGAGGATGGGATTCCATGGCCCCCAGCAATTTTGGGCTCATAACCCTTGAATGATGAAGGGCACATCACTCCTTTTTGTCTTGGCACAAAAACGCTTTCAAAATGTCGAAATTGAACGTTCAGATGCTGCACTGATCTTAGCCACAATTTGGCCAGTGCAATGGGAAACTATGTGAAATATGGGGGGTTTATGGAAGAACACGGGAAAATATGGTAGTAAAGCAATGGATCCGCCATCTCCCAATTTTGCCATTTTGATGGTTGGGATTGAAACCATCAATTTACATGGCGGGTTTATGACATTGCTTTACTAAAATTGCGTAGCTGTGCGAAGATAAAGTTCCTTTTGGAGAAATATGAACATGGGTTGATGACAAATTGCCAGGTAATCAATACTTTTGAAATGACACCTCTTGGTGCTGATGCCCATCCTCTATTGCACAGCCGTGCCCCCAAGTTGGTTATGCAAATTCAGTGTCGTGACCCATGGCCATCAGATTCAGGGTTTCCCCAACATGAACCATGATTAATGGTGCCGTTTGCAGTCTTGTAATTACACAAACGCTTATTTATACGCCGCAGGCCACACAAATAGTTTCTGTGTAAGATCGGATACCATGCATTTTCCCAAATAAGTCACAATGACTCATTCCAATATTTTCCATAACAGTTCCCTTCAAATTTCCCACATAGATAGGTCATGCACTGATTCAATCCCACAAAGATCTCATAAGTTCCATCATCTAAAGCTCAGAAACTTCGATTTTCTCGTTTTCTCCAGGTATTCCCCAGATATTCCCATGGTTTTCCCATCATTTCCCCGTTTTCCCCACGTTTCCCCATGGGTTTTCCCCACGTTTTCCTCCCCACCGAGGCGCGTGTTCCACGGCTCCAAGCCCACACTGTGTCCCAAGAGCAGCAGGGCGTGGCGCCATTCCAAGGCACGTTCCAAGGCCTCAAAGTTCGGATTGCATGTAGAACAATGATGTGTATTTATAAATCTATATACTGTGTAGATAGATAGATAGATAGATAGATAGATAGATAGATACATATATATATATTATATATATAAGGTTTCGGCTGAAAGTGTACTTATCAGGTCCCCCCTGGTGGTACACAGGGTTCTCTGAAATCTTAGCGGGTGTGACCGCCATCATATCGCCCGCGGGCAGCTGCGAACTGGTGAGCACTTCGTGGCAGCCTTCCAGTTGAGCTCTCACAGTCCAGGGCAGGCTGTGACCTCCTTCGCTCATTGTCTTTGACATCGTGCTCGGGCTTGGCATCCACCTCCTGTACTTTGTGTACGTTGGGAAGCCTCTCGTGCATGGTAAGCTACAAGCTTGGGTACCTGTTGGTGATCCTTCTGGTCCAGCGCAATTACACCTTCGAAGAGGAGAAGGTTTCGAAGGCTCAGAGCCAAAGCCAGATTCCAGTGGCATTGCCACAAAGTGGGACTGTCTTGCCTGACCCCTTCGCAGCTCTTGGACATCAAGCGACGTCTTGGAAATCACCATTCTCAAGACCCAGGTTTTCTTGCCCATCTACAAGTCGCAATGTCTACGACAGTGAAAACGCCGTGGATGTGTGCGTGGTGTCGGAGGTTGAATCGACACAACGCAAACCGCTGTGGCAAATGCGACAGCCTATGGCAGCATTGTCTAGATGTCAATTACCGCCATGGACAGCAAGGCGGCAATTCACCGAGAAAAAGAACGCCCTCGAGAAGTTATGCGTCTTGGAATCAAGGCAGCGATTGGGGAGATCATGGACAAGGTCATGGACGAAGGGCCAAGACCGATGCCAAGGGCTCACAATCGCCGAGATTGAAAAGATCCGACACGCCGAGGGGAAAGAAAAAGAGCAAGAAGGAAAAAGCAGACGATATGCCAGCTCTGGATCCGCCATGGAACGGAGACGACAATGCTGCTTTGCCCTCGCCATCCATCCCGGACAACAAGGCAGAAGCAAGACTGCAAGAATTGGTCCACGAGCTCAAAAAGCCTGGCAACACTTTGACAACTGGCGTACAGCAAATTGTCTCAGAAATGCCGGACTCTCCTGCAGCTACAGCTGCCAACATGCAGAGTGCATGTGCAAAACTGGAGAAAGCTCGCAAGAACTACAAGGATGCGTTGAAAGAGCGGCACAACATGCATGCGAAGTGGTCCAACTACCTCGCCCAGAGTGTCAGCAGATGGAAGAAATTCGCAACCGAGTTCACCGAGAAGGACCAGGGATTGGAGAACAAAGTACAAAAAGCCAAAGAGACCTTGCAAGCGGCCAGGGAAAGAGTCGACGTCACCAAGGAGGCATTGACCAAAGTGGACGAAGACATCCTGGACGACGTGCAAGCGATCTCGGCGGACGAAGAAGATATGGACACTACGGAGAAACTGGACTCCGCAGATACCATCAAAGCAGGCATCACAGACATGGTAGCAACCCTGGAGTATCACCAAGCTCACGGCTCCTGCAGATCCAGATGGACAAGTTGCCAAGCGAGCTCGCACAGAAGAAGGTGGTCCTGGCTCCTTGCCATCGGCACTAGTGCCTTTTGCAAAGCCTGGCAAGCAGACCTAGAGGAGGCTTGCTGGAGGCTGGACGCAGTAGAGTCCTTCCAGAATTTACCACAAATCTGGAATCACTCTATTTTGGAAGAACCGACGTTTCTTTCACCATGGGCTGCATCCATTCAAGGTCTTGACCTCGCATGGGAACTGGATACGGAGTTTTGTCCGGCTGTTCCGCAGATCAAGACAAAGACACGAGTCAAAGATGCACATGTCAGTTTTGCCATTGGTGTTGACTTCTATGTGGGCCACGAAGACGACATCTTGATGGGCAAGTGGAAGACATCTTTGACGGCACCAACAACAAGTATATTATTTCCAGACCCTGCAGATTTGGTTGAAGGTACTGACGATGATCTGACCTCTTTCATGGCTGCAGTGGCACCGAATAGTCCCTCGCCTTTGGCTGAGGCACCAATTACTTTGATGGAGAACCCCAACATTGCACAACAGACGGATGAGGAGAATCATGGCCCTCAGGTACAGGAGGCGCCACAATCTCCAACTGATGCATCAGATGCGGTCTCTGATGTGCCAACGGAATGGTATCCCACAGTGGTTTACTCATTTCATCGTGAACCAATCTCAGCATGGCTTGACTGGGATGATCGTGATGAAACATACAGGCATGTTGCGGGAGCTCTTGATATACATGTTGATAGATTACTTCATCTACAACAAGTTTATTTTACGCCAACAGATTTGAGAAGACTCCATGTTGAAGCTCTGATTGCGTATGAGATTGGCGATATTCCGGAAGGAGCTGATGGAAGGGCAGTCCTCATTGACATTGAATTCCACAGTCACTTACCCAGGAGAACGCCTGAGATCATCCGACGCATCTTCCTTTTACCAAGCCGAGTGCAACGTTCGGGACTATTGCAAGGTCTTGGACTTCTTCCACATTGCACTGATGCTGAAGGAACAGAGCTGATTTGGCACAATGATGATGTGTGCCGACAATCACATTCTACATGGATGGATTTGACAGATGGGGACTATGTGCGCATTGCACTACCTCCACATCCAGCTGAACAGTTGAATCATCTACCAACTCGATTTGTTGCAAGTGCCAGGTTCCGTGGGCTGTCTGTACAAGACATCTTCTCCAATGACCTGATGACCAGATTGGGCTGGATGGAGCCCGGCACAGTCACAACCAGATCGGTGCCCACTGACTATGACTTTGACTTGCATGAAGATGTGGCACTATTTCAAACTCATCAATACATGCCTGCCATCATCGACGCAGCAGTCAAAAGCTGTCGCCTTGACTATGACATGATGCCGCTGCGCCAAGCCGCAAGGTCAGATGAGGAACAAGACCCAAGACCAACACAAGGAATCCAAGATCAGCCACCAGTCATCCAGGGACTCCATCTACTATGGCAGCTACATGGCGCCTTTGAGAGAGGAGCAATAGAAGCGGTTTTGCATATTCAAACATGGTTCCTCAGCTTTCCCCGCTGGGGCCAATGCCGAGAACCACGTGGCTTAGCCCTTGGACCTGCCTTTCAAACATGGCAGCAAGACATGTTTGATTTATGGCGGGATCGACTGGAACCTGATTTTCCTGCAGAGATCTATCTTGTGGTCCCTACGCCACCAACTTCACCATATCAGCAACAAGATCGACCTCACGTGATTGTAGTCCAAAGAGCTCCAGCTGAAGGACGTGCAGTTTTGGTTACGGCAGTCAAGCCAGAACATCCCATGGAGCATCTTGCAACATACATGCCAGTCGTTGCAGGGAAAACAGACATCATCATGGTTGCGCAACTTGAGATGCACTGTTTACCGCAAACATCGGAACTACAATGTATGATCTGGCATGGTGATCGCCAACTGACCACTGGACAGCAATGGCATTTAGTCCATGGCACTGGACTTGAGATTATCATCAATCCTCCTTTACCTGGACCGTCTGCCAATGCCGCGTGGGATCACAGTGATGATGAAGTTGAACTGCTACAACGCACTTCTCGCCACACCATCTCGCTCGATGAGCTGATCCCACATGTTGAAGTTGTGAAGCTCAAGGCGGAAAACCCCATGCAGATCTTACCGACGTATCTTGAAATTCCAGCCCATTCTGGAAATGCTGGAGTACAAGCTGAGCTATGTCATTGGGGACTACGCTGTGAAGTACATCGCTTTGGCAAACGAAGCGAATTTCTCTGCACTGAAGAGGCCCACGCCAGAGATACGACGAAATTTCACTACATGCTCTGCCATGACGATCTCTGTGACGAAGACGGTGCCATTCTTCATTCCACAGATGTAGCCTTGCAGCAACCTCAACTGATGGAGCTACTCTGCTCTCTTGGTTACCCACGAGCAGTCATCATGTCGCAATGTGAAGTTGACGTACATTTCTTCTGCGTGCGCTTCCTGAACATTCAACCAGAGTTACAGGATGACCGTCGAAGCAAAAGAATCCCAACTCCATGGCCACAGCGACATGATCTTCAATGGCAACAGAGAAAGCTTTTTGAACCTTCTCCACTTCAAGAACCCGACACTGACAGGGACTGTTGTGTGCATACGCCATTTCTTCAGCAGCACATTGTAGAGCTCACCAGTGCTGGCACTCATGCTCTATGCACGGACTTTTCCAGCCTTGAGCTCCCAGAGTACATCAAGGAAGTGATGACATCCGCTGCTACTGGCGACTTGAATGAGGATTGGGACAGATGGCTTATTTTCACTGATGGCTCCTCTCAGACAAAGAACAAACATTGCACACCTGAGTATGTCGATGCAGTGCACACTCCAGATGCATGGGCAATGCTTGTCCTCGGTGAGAAATTTCACAATGATGGCACCAGCCAGATATGTCCACTTGGGTGGACAGCGCACCCAGTTCGCACAGATCCGACTGGCTGCTGCTATGCTGGTGCCACCAGGATCGGCGCAGACATTGCCGAGCGTGAAGGCTTGCTGTGGGCTGGATTATGGCGCATCACCCAGAATTGCATCACGCCTACAGTATTCTGTGTTGATTCCAAAATCACCAGTGGTCAGGCAATCGGTGCAATCGGAGTCTCTGAACCTGATCTTTCATATCGACTTCTTCGTGGTGTGTTCCAATGTCTACAGCGAGGATTGCCCAAAGGTCACCTGGAAATGCATCATGTGCGAGCTCACACCGGAGACCCATACAACGAATTTGTAGACTGCATTGCCAAGCGTGAGGCACTCTGCAGCTACAATCTGCCTCGTCTCAAGATCGACATGCAGGATTGGATACCACGACTACCTCACCTGTGGTTGAGATTCAGCGGCCACTATGGGCTCCCAGAATGGCAAGAAGGTCTCCATGTACCTGCTCCAGCACTACCAGCCACAACTTCTAGTCGGACTGATAGAGTAGCATCTCGCTCTTCAGTGCCTGTGACCTGCCAGTTGAGCCTTGCCACCATGAATGTGCTCTCTCTGTCTAAAGGTCCTGAAGGATACGGAGGGAAACTGAAATTTCTATATGATCAAGTCCAAGCACATGGCCTGAACGTGATCGGAATCCAAGAAGGTCGCAATGACGAGGCTTTCAGCACATCCCATGGGATGCTTCGAGTTTGTGCAGGACACTGTGAAGGCCATTACGGTGTCGAGTTATGGGTCAACCTGCAGCAGCCGATTGCACATGATCTTGAGAAGCGATCATACTTCCTGCAACCAAGCCACTTCCAAGTGACATACAAGGACCCGCAGAGGCTCATCGTCAGATGTGACAGCGACATGCTTTCATGCTGGTTCTTTGTTGCGCATGCACCGCATAGTGGCCATGAAGCACAACATCGAAGTTCCTGGTGGTCTCACACTGACGAGCTCATTCAGCGGCATCGAGACGGAGCCCCATGGGTCTGGCTCATTGATGCCAATGCGGCCCCAGGGAATGCTGATAATGTCGCAGTATTTGCTGATGGAATGGCTACCAGTGTGAACACAGAACATTTTCGCAACAGCTTGGCCATCCATGAACTCTGCTTGCCCTCCACTACTGACTGCCACAGTGGAAGTCGCAGCACATGGACGAGTTTTGATGGTACCAAAGGTCATTGTATTGACTATGTTGTCATCCCTCAAGATTGGCTTGGGTACTGCACCTTTTCTGGCATCATTGACTCCATCGAGTTTGGAAACCTCAAAGAGGACCACAAGGCCGTTGGGCTCCAACTACTCTGGCATACTGAGAGCAGTCAAGAACTAGCTGGACCCCAGCCGCACAAGATTGATTGGAGCCAACCACATGTCCGACAAGTACTACAAGACCACATCCAAGGCCTTGCAGCGGATCCCTGGCATACTGATGTGGAGCAACAAGCCAATTCTTTGGCAAACCAGCTCCATGAAGCAATGCGTAAAGGACCCAAGGTCAAGGCTATCGCCAAAAAACCATACATCACTGATGAAATTTGGAATATGCGTGTGAAAAAGGTGAAGATCCGCAGGAAACTGCGGGAGCTGAACAGACGATCAGGTCTTCATGCTCTATTTACTGCATTCAGAGCCTGGACAAATCGCTACACTGACTCTGAGTTCCACGCATATCACACACATTGCCGAACGCTTTTGTGCTCCAAGTTCAAACTTGTTGTTGCACATCGTCATGTAGCGCACCAACTACGACAAGCGTTGCGATCTGCCAAACATGTTTTGTTGGCGGATCGACTTGACAATCTTGCAGAGACCACATCGGCAGCTAATGTGCTCAAATGTCTCAAAGACTTCATTGGACCGACCAACTTGAAGCATTGCAAAAAGAAGCCAGTGCCTTTGATACACAACCAGGATGGTCAGCCATGTCACCTTCCATCAGAAGCTTTGGCCACGTGGATAGATTTTTTCCGCGACATGGAAGGAGGACAAAGATTGCCATGGTCACAGCTGAGAAAAAACTGGATTGATGGTCTCCGAGCAGAACAAGAAACCAATTTCCAGATTTCCTCGACAGAACTTCCGACCTTGACTGATCTAGAGCTGGCAATGAGACGCACAGCATGTGGAAAAGCTCAAGGAGCTGATGCGCTACCAGGGGAATTGCTACACTTTTTCTCTGTGGAGATTGCCGAGCTGGTGTTTCCGACCCTATGGAAACTTTTGCTGCACGGTCAGGAAGACCTTTCCTACAAAGGAGGAGTTCTAGTGCAGGCATACAAAGGTCGTGGAGACAGCAAGGCATGTCAATCTTTTCGTTCTTTGTTGATCTCGAGTCAGATCGGCAAGACAATACATCGTACAATACGTACGTTTCAGGCAGATCTCTTTGAAAGATTCCTTCAGACGCATCAGGTCGGCGGCAAGCGCAAAATGCCAGTGACCTATGGCCTTCATTTAGTTCGTGCACACCTTCGACGAGCTCAGCGTCAAGGAGATTGTGCGGCGATCGTCTTCGTCGATTTGACGGAGGCGTTCTATCGGATTTTTCGTCCACTTTGCATGAACAATGAGCTCACTGATGAAGCTCTGGCTGCGTTCCTGAAGAAGCTCCACATGCCCGAGTCTGCCTTACACGAGCTATGGGCCATCCTTGGTGAACCCAATGCCCTTGAGATGGCGCAATTACCATACCATCTCCAGAAGAGCATTGCTGCGATCCACCGCAATACCCACTTTTGGATGAGGGGCCAAAGTGATGTGGTTGAAACAAGGTTCGGCTCCAGACCGGGCGATCCGTTTGCGGACGTATGCTTTAGCTATGTCTGGGCCAGAGTTCTCCACCGTTTGCAGGAGCACATGCAACAGCATCAGCTCATTGACCTGTATCCTCAGGTTGCGGATCTTCAGCTCTTTGGTGACAAGGCTGCCAATTTGCCTGAAGCAGAGATCCCGTGGACTCCCTTCTTAGGGCCAACTTGGATGGATGATACAGCAATTTGCCTGAGTGCTCCTGACACGCCACAACTCATCAGCAAGGTCTCACACACCACATCAAAGCTGCTTGAACTTTGCACTGAACACGGAATGTCACCAAATCTTAAACGTGGTAAGTCTGAAGTTCTTCTCAGCTTACGTGGCAAAGCTTCACGCAAGCACAAGATTGAGTTATTTGGTCCTGATGCTCCCATGACAATTCCGATCCTCACAGAGCACAACTCGTACCAGATGCCGATAACTAACAAGTATCTCCATCTTGGAGGACTCCTACACCATGGAGTCGATCAACGTGCTGAGCTACGCCGACGGCTAGCCATCGCCCATTCTGCGTTCACTCAGCACCGCCGAGTGTTGTACCACAACACACGCATCGACTTCAGCAAACGGTGCGAACTCTTCCAGATCCTGATCATCAACAAGTTATTGTATGGCTCCGAGAGTTGGCTCATTACGGACGACAAGACTGTCGCAACATTTCATGCAGCGATTTTTCGCCTTTACCGAAGATTGCTGAGAATCCCTCATGATGAGCATGCATACCATGATCAAATTCTGGCTGACGTTGGCTTGCCTGGTCCAGATACTCTGTTGAGACGGCAGCGCTTGCGGTATTTGGGTACACTGTATCGCTGCGGTGCTGACCATGACTGGGGTATCCTATCAGCAGATCGAGATTGGTGTGCATATATTGAAGCAGACTTGCAATGGATGTGGAAGCAACTCCAACGCAGTTCCGACTTACCGTCTCCGGACAGTAACTATGCACACTGGCAACACCTGATTCGAAGTCACCCAAAGTATTGGAAGAGGCTCATTCGACGTGCAGTGACTCATGAAGTTCTGCAAATTCAGAGAGTGTGGAGAGTGCAAGAATTCCACTTACATGCTCTTCGTCGTTTGGAAACCATCTTTGGGGCGCCATCCCAGAGTTTGCCAGTGGCAGTTGAAGCCAGCACTACGACCAGTTTTGGCTGCATGCAATGTAGAATTGGATGTGCCAGCAAGGGAGGGGAAGCCGCTCACATGTTCAAGCGACATGGACAAGTAGCAGCCACCCGTCGGCTTTTCACAGAGCCAACTTGCCCAGCTTGCCTGAAGGTTTTCCACACGATGCAGAAGACGAAGGCGCACATCCATTATTCGCAGCGATGCCGCCAGATCCTACGCAGCCAAAGAGTGCCAGGATATGTAGGACCCGGTGCGGGCTCCACTCATGATCGAGAACTAGCAGAAAGCCACGACAGGCTCTTGCCGCCCCTTCAAGCTGAAGGTCCTCTCAATGTTGCCCCGCGCCTACGTGCTGATCCGGGTATTGATGATTCCTTTTTTGTCTACATCACGGACGCGGTCGGGCCTGGCATGTGCATGGAGGACTTCATCGACATTCTCAAGAAGTATGCGACAGACCATGCGATCTCATGGACGGCCTGGTGCAACACTGTGCAATTTTTTGCAGAGTCTTTTGGTGCAGACGATGCGATCTTTGCGAATGTTGCCTGGACGGACATGCAGAATTGTCTTCGGTTGTTATGCAATGAGGAGCATTTTCCATTCTTGAAGATGGTCAACAAGAAGCAGCTGCTTGCGGATCCTGTGAGCGTTCTGGAGCGGCAATGCGTTGCAGCGAGTGAGCAGATGAACTATGTGGCCACCCCGCGAGCGTTCGGACAACATCGTGTCTTGCTGCACGCGTATTCCGGCCGTCGCAGGCAAGGAGACCTACAACACTACATTGACCAGATTATGAAGGCCAAGGATGTGTCGTTTGTCCTCCACGTCGTGTCGATGGATATCGTTATTGACAAGGTCTATGGCGATGCTCGCAATGCTACCACAAGAAAGTATTGGTTGACGGCCATTCGTGACCGAAAAGTGGTCGCATATGTAGCTGGCCCACCATGCGAGACATGGACAGTTGCACGTGAACATGCCGTGGCTGATGATCGCGTTGCTCCTCGCCCTGTTCGCAGCGCTACTGAGCTTTGGGGCTTTGAATGCATGACCTTGCGCGAAACGTGCCAGGTCAATGTAGGAAATGAATTGCTTTTCTTTTCCTTAGAAGCACTGATGGAATTAGTGCTCACAGATGGATGGGCCATCATTGAACATCCGGCTCCTCCACAGAAGGAACATGCACCCAGCATTTGGAAGCTGGCAGTAATTCAAGCCCTTTTAGCGCTGCCCCAAATCGAAACATGTCGATTTTGTCAGGGACTGCTTGGTGCTTTTTCTCCCAAGCCCACGCAGCTCCTTCTTTTGAACCTCCCTGGAGTGATTTTTGCATTGCATCGCTGGCGTGTGCGCCGTGAACTACCGCGCGCTGCCGCAATTGGTTTGGACTCTCAGGGACGGTGGTGTACTACTCCGTTGAAGGAGTATCCACCGGCTATGTGCGGAGCACTAGCTGAAACTTTGGGCGAAGCTTTTTGCTCAGAGCCCACTGCTGATGCATGTCAACCTGCGCAGTCTGACTTGGACTTGTGGAGAAGGCTCCATGCAACTGTGTACGGACGCTTTGTTGGAGCAGACTACGCAGGTTGAGAACATGTACATGGAATTCACATGCAGTAGGCCGCTGCGCAAGCATCTTGGAGCCTAGAAGCAAAAAATTATATATATATAGATAGATAGATAGATAGATAAATAGATAGATAGATAGATTAGATTAGATTAGATTAGATAGATTAGATAGATTAGATAGATTAGATAGATTAGATAGATTAGATAGATTAGATAGATTAGATAGATTAGATAGATAGATAGATAGATAAGATTAGATTAGATTAGATTAGATTAGAATAGATTAGAATAGATAGATAGATAGGTAGGTAGATAGATAGATAGGTAGATAGATAGATAGATAGACAGATAGATAGATAGATCGATCGATAGATCGATCGATACATTTTTTTTGTGTATATATATATATAGATATATATATATGTGTGTGCGTGTAAAGAAAGAGAGAGGGGGAGAAAAAAAGCAAATATATATATATATAATGTGAATTATACATAATCATACATTGCAACAATATGTGTGTATATATATATGGTACTGTACAGGCCTGTAACCCCCACCCACCCCCCCCACCGTCATGGTCATGGTTCCCCGCCCCCCCTGTGGGAATGGCGGGGTGGGAATGGCGTGGTCTCCCCCCCTTTGCTGTGGGAGTGGGGGGGTCTCTTGTTTGTATGCATGCATGCATGCATGCATGTATGTATGCATGTATGTATGTATGTATGTGCGTATGTATGTAATTAATGTATGTATGTCTGTCTGTCTGTATGTATGTAATTAATGTATGTATGTATGTATGTATGTATGTATGTATGTATGTATGTATGTATGTATGTAATTAATGTATGTATGTATGTATGTATGTATGTACGTATGTATGTATGTATGTATGTAATTAATGTATGTACGTATGTATGTATGTAATGAATGTATGTATGTAATTCATGTATGTATGTAATTCATGTATGTATGTATGTATGTATGTAGGTATGTATGTATGTATGTGTATGTATGTATGTAATGTTATGGTTTGTTATGTTTTGCATTTTTGTATGTAGTAATGTAATGTAATGTTATGTAATATAATCTAATTTAATATATAATATAATGTATGTATGTATGTTTGTATGCATGCATGCATGTATGTATGTATGTGTGTATGAATGTGTCTCTGTAAGTATGTATGTATGTATGTATGTATGTCTGTATGTATGTATGTATGTATGTAGGTATGTAGGTATGAAAGCATGTGTGTAAGTAGGTAGGTAGGTAGGTAGGTAGGTAGGTAGGTAGGCATTATGTAGGTATGTAGGTCTGCAGGTATGTAGGTATGTAGGTCTGCAGGTATGTAGGTATGAAGGTCTGTAGGTATGTAGGTATGTAGGTACGTAGGTACGTAGGTTTGTAGGTATGTAGGTATGGAGGTATGTAGGTATGTAGGTAGGTATGTAAGTATGTAAGTATGTAAGTATGTAAGTATGTAAGTAAGTAAGTAAGTAAGTAAGTAAGTATGTATGTATGTATGTATGTATGTATGCAGGTATGCATGCATGTAGGTATGAAGGTATGTATCTATATAGGTATGTATCTATATAGGTATGTCGGTATGTTGGTATGTTGGTATGTAGGTATGGAGGTAAGTAGGTAAGTAGGTATGTGGGTATGTAGGTATGTAGGTATGTATGTACGTATGTACATATGTATGTGCTTGCACAGATGTTGGATGCTACGTTGAAGTACCTCCTTCGTACTTGCGCAGACCCTTGCTGCTACGTTATAGGATCCTCTCTGGTACATGCACACACAGTTGATGCTACGTTACATGACCTTCTATTGCACACGCGCAGACAGTTGATGCAACGTTATAAGGAGTTATAAGATCTTCTCTCCTACTTCCGTAGACACTTGATGTTACGTTACAAGATCTTCTCTTGCACTTGCACAGACACTTGGTGCTACACTAATAGACCTTCTCTTGTTTTTGCACAGGCACTGGAGGTTACAAGATCTTCCCTCGTACTTGCACAGACACTTGATGCTGCGTTACAGGGTGCTGGGCTACCGGGGAGGGGGGGGACCACCATCTGGGGTGTAGCCGGGGGGTAGCCGGCCTGGAGGACCATACCATCGGGGGGGGGTTACCGGACCGCGGACCAGGACCATATATGTTATAGAAATAGGATCCGTCTTCCTAAGTTGTAAGTTAGGAATACTGTATGTATTCAAGACTACGAAAGAAAACGGTGGCGGGTCCCAACAAAGAATGTGCTAGGCATCATCTTGATGTGCAGAACACTTCCATTCGGTAAGGCATGGTTTCCGCCAATCGAATGAAGGGAGAGTTTACAGGAAGACCCTGATTCCCCTCCAGTAAACTAACATAGATGCATAGATGTGGAAAACCCACCATTCATAGAACATTTTCCTGATGAAACAAAACCATAGGTTTTCCACATCTGTGTTAGTTCACCCCAGGGTACTATGCCAAAAACCAATCATGTCCTTTAAATTTTCACTCAAAGGTGGGAATGAAACCCGACTCGTGTGAGGCATCCATCCATACCCATCATTTTATCATCCGCGATCTCCCCATTTTTTTCTTGGTTGACCCTCCATTCTTTAGTGGCAAATATCCTATCTTTGGCTGGTAAAATCACCGTTTCTGCTGGTTGAAAATCATGTTTCACTGATAACCGTGTTTTGCTTGGTACAGGACAGTTTTGGGGGAGAAATCACCCTTTTTTTCGTGTCAAAAATCACCGTGTTTTGCTTGGTAAAACCACCATACTGGGGATGCTTCGCCACCAAGGTGCGTGGATGCAGGCATTGAAGCTCACAGCGTCTGGCTGCAACTGGTGATCTGCCGGCGATCTGCAACTGATGTATGATCTCTATGGATTATGATCCCTGATGATCTCTTGATCGAAACAATCTGATTCGAATCTAATCTACTTTAGTGAAATCATGTCTACTCTGATCAAATCAAAGCAATGCAAATCATTCACTATTTTCTATTCTAATCGATTCCATTTTATTCTGTTCTGTTCAATTATCCTTCTATTCTATTCAATTCTATTCTATTCTATGCAATTCGATTCGATTTGGTTCGATTCTGTCTGTCTGTCTGCCTGTCTGCCTGTCTGCCTGTCTGCTTATCAATCTACAGTATCTATCTATCTACCTACCCAGCTACCTATCTATCTATGCATCCATCTATCTCATCTAATCTAGTCTAATCTAATCTAATCTAAATCTAATCTAATCTAATCTAATCTATCTATCTAATCTATATGATATGCGTGTTATCTTTATCTTATCTTTGTCTTATCTGTATCTTATCTTTTCGTTATCGTATCTTTTTCTTGTTTATACATATATATATATACATATGGTATGTTCTCTGCCTTATCTTTTCCCATCGTTTGATTTGTTCTATCTTTTATCTTATCTTATCATATCTATCTTATCTGTTTTAGATATCTATAACATGTTTTTCTAAATAGATGCAGGGGTCAACCCCACCATGAACAGACAGCCAAGTGCTGGCCTCTCATGGCTGGGAGCATAGACACAGCCACCTTGTGACCCAGAACGTTGGAGGAGGTGTTTGAAAAATGAGTGGGAATATGTTGAAAGGGAACGACAGAAAAGGTCAATCAAACAAAATGCGCTTAGCATAGAGTCGGCATGGATCAAACCAAACACTGGAAAGTGATAGTTGCAGGTAATAAGTGCACTTACCGATGGTTTTTTTTAATGAAATATAATCAATAAATATGGGGGTCTAGTATGATATCATGGGAATATGAGATATACCCTCTGGTGATGACTAACAGTTTGTAAAATCAGTCTCTTTCATAGGTAAATTATTGATTATGTTGAATTACCCGAGGGGATTCCTAACAAGCAACAGACTGCTACCAAAACAAATACTGGATTCTTGGATTGATCATGAGTACTTGTGGTGGTGGGTGGATACTAAACCCCAGAATGAAGCTACCTAAATCAATCCATCTTTAGGTTTTCGAAATCTTCAAGAAAAGAAAACATGTATCATGTATTGATGGCGTTGCCAGATTGCCTCCTCAAAAAATGTGTACAAATTGGATGGAAAGCTGAAAAAAACTCTAACATCCCAAGATATCCCGAGATAAAAACCTACGGTACCACCATGGTTCACCTTCCATCTGCTGGCAACAGCGGCCGCCGTCAACGCACCATTGAAGCTCGCCACGTTGGGCCTGTGACAATTTTGGGCGCTATCCAACATATCCATGAATCCGAATTGTGAATGATGATCCCTTGATCTATTGATATCTATTGATATGAATTGAATTCAATGAGTTTCATATTCAATCTCCATGAATTTTGCTATTCCACCTACCTAAAAAATATTTAAAAAACTTCATTTAGGCGATGATTCCCCCAATTCCCATCATGACATCGGTGACATCGTTGGGAGGTCGTAATGCCGTTAACTTC